AGGACAACAACCCTATATGAATCTCAGAAATCCTAGTCAATATGGAAATAGAAAAGTCTACGAGGATGGGACCCAGTTCTAATCTGACGGTTAAGATCTCATTATAAATTCCGATGGTAATATCAACGGTCATAGTGACGGTTGTAGCATAGTCTGCTGCTGTAGTGGAATCGAACCGACCTTACACAACACGGTGGATGACTTCAACAAGGCTTAGGAACTTAGAGCCGTCCGATTAAAAATAAAAAAGATTTTGGGTTAATTATATAGTTAGGCTTTTCTTTCTTAAAGAAGTAAAATAAACTTATCCAGTATCATAATAACTTATTTTATTTTAAATAGATAGAACAGCATTGATAATATGTTGATAATGCCGCTAATAGATAAGTGTTGATAAATATAAGTAAACATCTATCTATTATATTAAAACAGAAGCACATTTAGTACTTATTTTTAAATACCTTTAATTTTTTTTAAGTATTTAAAAATAATTTTAATAATTATTTATATTTAATTTTGAAAATTAGTTATTAATTTAAATATTTTTAGAATTCCTTAAATATAGGTAATTTAGATTTGATTTGATTTTATTAAAAATAATAAATCAGATATTAATTTAGATTTGATTTAAAGATTCTAATTTAAATAATTTTTATACTACTAAACATTTTTATCAAAAATATCTAGAATTTTTGAAAAAAAAATAATTCACATATGAAAAATAATGGTCATATTTGAAATATAAAATATTTATAATGATGTAAATGATATGATATTTATGTTGCTTATATAATATATTTACGATTATGATTTATTTACAAATTATAAAATAATAGGTAAAATTCAAATGTATAATTTAGATATTAAAAATAAATTTTTAAAAATTTATAGAACTAAAAATATATATAAAAATCGGGTTAAAAATATTTTGATAACTAAAATCACTAATTTTGAATTATACATGTATATCGAAAATATATTTTTCATACAAAATAAAAACATAAAAAATTAAAAATTATTGCATACACTCTATAATGTGGTTTGAAAAACCAGTTGTACACTTCCTTCGTTGATTAAATTTTAGAAAACTATAATGCTAAATAATACTTTTAATACATCTAAAACTTTTAACAAATATCTATATTATACGGTAATATGAACGAAAAAGTTAGAATTATGTTTTAATAATAGTTCATTTTGAATTAATATTAGCGAACGGTTTAATATTATATTTTTATAATTATAATTAATTTTAATACTACAAAAATATATCTAAACACAAAAATCAATATTTTCACTTATTAAAAAATATATTTATAAAAATAATTATATCTAAAATTAAAAACACAAATTACATTACAAAATTCGTTAAACAATAAAAAATATTCCTGTGCGGATGCACGGGGATAGAATCTAGTTTTAATTAACTTAATAGCATTGATGTTAGTGTGAGATGTCGTTTTATGTATTCACTGTTTTATTTTTATTTGAAAGAAGTTTTACTGATCAAAAAGAAAGAAAAAAAAACAAATTAGAAAGGAAATTGGGCTTAAATAAATTACTGTCACTCTATGAATAGTTTTTAGTAACGAGTAGCCACTGATGAGGCCTATTTTCAGAAGCCCATGACCTAATAAAATAGTGTAATTATTATTTTTATTTATCAAAAATAAACATGAGATGATTTATAAGAGCATGTTTATCAGTCGTATATGACCGTGTTTCTTTAACATTTCCGGCCCACAAAAAAAATAGAAAAAACTTAATACGTAAGAGACGTCTCCTATTTGGCATACGAGAGAGAAGTCTCTAAGATGCCACGTGTCGTATCTTCATTGGCTGGAGAAATTTTGGCCAAAATATTTTTTTTTTCCCTTTCTCTTTTCCATTTTTTTCCGGACGAAACAATTCGACTCTCCAATGTATCTCCAAATAAACCAAGTTTCTTAATATGTCTCTTAACTAAATAATATGATTTAAATAATATTTAAGAGACACAAATCAGTCTATCTAATAAACATGGTCTAAGACTATAACAGGCTATCTCATCTAGTTGTGAGATTTGAGAATACTGACTGAATTTTGATTTTTTTTTTTTTTACCACTGAATTTTCTGCCACGAAATTGAAAGGGACAGATACACACATGCTAATATTTTAATTTTTCCTTTTAACAATAAAAAATCAAATTAATAAAAGTTGAAAGGGACATAAACTCATCATTTTCCTAGTTGAAAAACAATAATGATCGGGATAATAAGGAGTAACCTGATTTTGCAAGATAGTCTGTTAGAATGACTTTTTTTTAAAGTGGGTCATCATAAACTAAACTCTTATCAAAAATTCTTTCGAAAATACTCTCTGAACAAAGATGTACAGACGTGAGAGAAAAAGAGAAAAATAAAGAAGAAACAAGCGAAAAAATAGAGGAAGAACAGTTTGGTGCAAGTTTAATAGTTTTACGAAACAATAGGTATTCCTCATTAGTTGCATTTGAAATCTAATAGCTCGTATTAATGTCGCTATTGTATTTTAATCTAGATTTAAATATGGTATGCAATTTTGCATGTGTGAATTGTAATTTGTAAATAACAAAAATATGAGGTAATCATCACATAACATGTGTTTTAGATTCTTTTCCTGATTTTAACATAGAACAAACTATATTATAATTTCTATATTTGAACTTAGGATCATTAGATAAATCGACCTAAAGTCTTCTAATGATTGGATTTAAGCAGTATCTGAAAAAGTTGAATCAAGGTATAGAGCACTGAGTACCACATTCAAATCATATCCTCTTGGAATCTTTGAGATATGATGAATTTTGCAAAGATTAAAATTACGCCGAAATTCCTAACTAGGAACAAATTTTATATAAGCCATAGACATTATAAAGTTTGAAAGTTTCACAATTACGAGATTATTGCATATTGACTTTGAAAATTTTACGGAAGGTAAGTTGTAACTAAATATAAAAAAATGATTTGCTAATCCAATATTCAAAATCTGTTAACCAAGAAAAGGATAGTTTTGATGGATTACGCACAACAAAAAAAAAAAAAATAGAAATGGAGGAATAATGGAACATATAGTGGAAGGAAAAAGAGTGAAATGGACACGAGAGGTTGGCAACGAAAGATTCGGTTGTCACACAAATTGCAGAGATTCTCCACTCTCTATCCATCTATAAATAACTTAGCAATTGAAGTCTGATCACAAAGCAGAACAAGAACTCAAACAACCTTCAAGCTTTTCTTTCAAAACCCAATCATGTCGGACAAGTGTGGAACCTGCGACTGTGCTGACAAGACCCAGTGCGTGTAAGTCTCCTCTGTTTTTGTTTCACGACTCTACCAAAAAAAACAGACTAAAACCTCTGTTTCTGATCCATTCTGTTTTTTTTTTTTTACTTTGTTGTGGAAAATTCTAAACTTTCTTGGTGATCTTGATGCTCGAGGGATGTTTGATACTATACTCTTTATGTTCTGACCCTATGCGTTCTCTTTCTGTAACTGCAGGAAGAAGAGAACGAGCTACACCTTCGATATCGTCGAGACTCAAGAGAGGTAATAATGTGTGATGGTTTTGGTTATGGACATGGTGATGGTATGATGATATTTGTTTTGTTTTGCTTTTGCAGCTACAAGGAGGCCATGTTCATGGACGTTGGTGCAGAAGAGAACAATGGAGGTTGCAAGTGCAAGTGCGGCTCTACCTGCAGCTGCATCAATTGCACTTGCTGCCCCAATTAAAAAAGCTCCTACAATACTTTAAAAAAGGGTCCATTTCTCTTTCCCTCCTTTTAAAATCAAAATGTAATATGAATAAAAAAGTTTATGCGAGCTCATCTAGTAAGCTCATGTGACTCTCTAGTATGGTGTGATGTAATGGGTTGTGCCCTTTATCCTCTAATACATCATATTATCTATTTTTAACATCTTCTTTCTCTTCCCTATGAAAACTAACACAACAAGAATTGCAAGATAATTGAAAAGATTGTTGTTTCTTTGGACTTTTATTTTCATCACAACAAAATGGGATTCTGTAAATATCCTGTTTTATAGCCTAATCACTTTCGGGCAATAATGAACTGCTCGTTACTTTCTTGATCCATCAAATTAAGTATTTAAGAAAAACATTTCAGACGTTGAAACCTTCTGCTCGGAGACACATTTTATGAGCTTCAATCCATTTGGTGCAAGCCGATTCACCATGCTCGACAATGCACTCATCTCTCAGCTTCTTAGTATCAGGGCAAGCACAACATATCCTCTTCTTTGGTTTTGTCTCTGCCTTGCTTGGCTCTGAAATAGCTGGAGGAATCAAGACGTTTTTCTCTGGTTGATCACTCATCCCTGTCATGATAATGCAGATAACAAGGACAAATCAGAATATGAACATGGTAATGAACAAGAGGGAGGCATAAAATAAAAGGAACATTGAGTAGAGTGTCTCCCACATCTGAAACACAAGAAAAATAACCTTTCCACTGTAAAAGACGCACACTTAAAGATCTATATGTTACCCCCAAGAAGTTTAAACACACACCAAAAAACACAAACATTAAACTAGACAATAAACACAATGATAAGTCACAATTTCCTAAACCCGCGCATATGCTTATTATTGAACACAAACAAAATTCGAACTTTCATACTTCACTTCTCCAAAACCAAAGCTAGAATTGAAATTGAGGGCCGCAGAACATCTACTACAAAGACATAATCCAGAACTTCTGATCACGAATCAATGGCTTAGATTATTCAAAGTGATCGTCAAAATTACAGATTTTTCAGCTGACTTTCTCTGCCTAAAACCCCATCTGAAAATCGGATGAGATAATTGAGTATTTTTACACTTTGACAAGACGACATCGAGAAACAAATCTAAACAAAAGCAAAATAACATCACACGAAACCTAAAACCCTGAATCCCAAAACCCTGAACCTCAAATCACCTCAAATCAAAACAACACTACCAAAACCATAAACCAATTCGGTAACAATTCAAATTCAACGAGCAAGCAAGCTACTTTAATCCAGGAAATAACTAGTAAGCAAAAAAAAAAAAAAGACGGTGAAAATGTTTTTTTTTTGTTTATTAAATATTTTCTCTTCCATTTGCAGTATCTAACAATTCTTGATGCAGAATTTCACAGAAATGGAGAAAAAAGAAACAATAACCTTGGAATTGAATGGCTTTACAGATGAAGAAAAAACCGGTGAAAGCCTCGGCGACGTTATGAAAGGGAAAAAGAAGACCTTTTCTTCAAGTCAAAAGTAAAAGCCATCAAATTAGAAGAAATTTGATTAAATTATTGTTATAATTCAATCGACCCCGCGTTCGATGTCTATAATGGGCCAGGCCCATCTCTTATATAATCTAAAAGTAAAATCGTAGTGTCGTACCACTAACGGCGGCGATGCGACGGCGAAGGTGGTGACTTTGCCGTACTTAACCGGAATTCGTCTTCGATTTTGGGATTCTTCTTTTTTCTAAAAACTCATTTTTGGAACTGATGAGAATCGGTACGATGTTGTCTTCACTGACTCCTCTGCAACTTCCATCTCGGATGCAAACTCATCTTTGGTATATAATACCAAACCAAGTGAAGAGCGAATCTCTACTAAAACACTACTCTGAGCTTTTGTCTCCATCCGAGAAAGGTAAAGTCTTTCGAATGCAAAGTGATGAGCTAAACAAGAAGAACGTCTTGCTTGCTCGTACCTTGGTTCGAACCACAATTGCTAGATATCAATCAAACAACAACACTGTGGTGGTGGATCCAAGGTCCTTGAAGTTCAAGAAGAATTTGTACGGGAAGCCTGAGGTAGATTTGGAGAATGACACTGATAATCCGAAACTGCAATTCAACATCTCGCACACGGATTCGTTGATAGCTTGTGGAGTGACGGTAAATGTTCCGGTTGGTATTGATGTGGAAGACAAGACAAGGAAGATGAAACATGATGTGTTAGCACTTGCAAAGAGATTTTACTCGCCTGAAGAAGTCAACTTTTTGTCAACTATAGCAGACACTGAGGCTCAGCGGAAGGAGTTTATTAAGCTGTGGACTCTCAAAGAAGCATATGTGAAAGCATTAGGAAAAGGCTTCTCTGCTTCACCTTTTAATACCTTTACAATCAACCAAGCTGAGGCTGGAGCAAAAGAAAGCTACAATCTTTGCCAGGCAGGGGAGAGAATTGGTGAATGGAAGTTGGCGCTTCTGGATTTGGCTGCTTCGTCTCATTACGCTGCAATCTGCATTGAAGATGATGATGATGATGCTAAAGGAGTTGAAGCTCCTATGAATGTGATTGTCCACAGAACCATCCCATTTGTAGAAGATGAACTCATCTCTGATTGGAAACTTCTGTAGTTTTTATGTGATTTAGTCACACTCTTTCCTTTACAAAATGTTTGAAACTTTTATTAAAAACAGACTTCGTAGTTTCACAAATAAGAATCCCACAACAAATTAGTTACACAAACATCTGATGTTTTCACAGTAGAAAAAAAAAACCAATTTCATTGTAAATTCCTCTATTTCATATATAAAAAAATCACATTTTTCACACTTGATCTTCTGAAACCTATGAAACCGACAATGCTTTTGATCTTCACCCAAGCTACTGCTCTCTTGATCTCCGCTTTCTATCAAATCCCTCATCTTTTGCATTAGCTGCCAACAACTCTAAGAGAGAAGCAAAAAAATCAATCATACTTCACCCTCCATGTATAAACGAGGAAGAAAACCCAAGAGACAGCCAAAGCAATATCTCCCAGGGCTTGCTTGGGGCATTCAAAAGCAAGATCTTCAATCTTCCACTCAAACATAACTCTCCATAGAGCCATAAGGACATAGAGAATCACCGAGCCTCCGGCGAAGAAGCTATGGAAGTCTCTATCTTTAACAAACGACACCATGAAGAGCACCAAACCAATTGCAAAGAGAAGCAAACCCGAGAATGACTGAGAAATCTGGATGAGAAGCTCGTCGTGAGGTGTTGATCCTTTGAGCTTGTTTGCTATGTCGCTACCGTGCCCAAAGATGGAAGCTTTCTCTGTGCAGAACATCATCAGTGTTCCACTTGTGAGTGCGATAATCGAATGGAGCATACAGATTACGCGGAAGAGATGTGAATTCATCGGATGGGTTTTTGCTGGTTTTTTGAATGGATCAATGAACCTGTGGAAAGATGGCCTGAATATCCAGAAAAAGTCAAAAACAGATGGAAGAAACAAAAACCCACTTTGCTGTTCAAACTTCAAAGACACAGATGAAACTAGAAAATTGGATCTTTGAAATAGGGAAGAGAGAAGGGGAAAAAGCTTCACTTGCTTATAAAAGGAAGAGGAAACTGATGAGGGTTTGCGTTTTGCAGGAAAATCAATGGTGGAAAGATAGTGGTTTTGGGAGAGAGATTATCTGATTCAGGAAATTTATCTGATTGATTCCACAGTAGGGAGGACTTCTAGGAATTGTTTTATGATAAACCCTAATTTTGTCTTGAAACAAAAGAAGATTTTGATGATCTCGGCTTTGCTTTGGCAGCTTCTTTTTGTTCAACAGAAATTTAAACCCACAGTATAAAGATTGTTTTCCGATTATAAATGGGAGATTAGATATTTATATAGCTAAAACAAATTGTCCAAAAAAAAAAACAAAATAATTATTAAGACAATAGAATAATATTCAACAATACTGTGATTTGTAATTAGGACTTTTTTTTGGTTAAACATGAAAAATACAGTGACATTTTCCAATAATAAAATATCATTAAACAAAAGAAACAAGAAAATCTTGTTAATTAAATTAAGAATACAATAATAACTTTAATAAGTTCATCAACGTCACAAATAGATATCGCCGTTAATGATAAAACCAACATTGTTCTACTTAACTTTAGGTTTGTCCTCTAACGCGACCAACGATCTGATAATGCCTAGAGGAATACTATCACCAAGAGCCTTAAGTTCCGATAAACAAAGAGTCTTTTCCTTCATTAAGCTCTGCAATTTCGTCGCTTCAAACTCCATTTTCTTCTCATCTACAACAGTAACAAAATATATCCTTTTCACATGAGACTAGTACATTAACCTTTAAGAAAGAAAGTAGCAAAACCCGTAGAGAAGACAAACCTTTCTCTAGCATTGTATGCACAACATGAAACGGTATTGCAGCGAAAAGATCAGCTCCTGGGAGAATCATCCATGTGGGTTCACTAGAGTTATGGGATCCACAAGTCGAGCAAACTTCTTTGACCACAGGTTGTTCCACTGAGCTCTCACGGACATCCTTCATCATAGAATCGAAAGGAGAAGGGATGCTAGTCTTTGTTGTCCGAGCTTTCTTCCTAAGTGCTGTAAGAGCCTCTCTGTTCGCATTCCTCTCCCTGTCATTCTCCACCATCTATATTACAAACTCCACTTGGTTAAAAACCCAGTTTGATTTCTCGCAAGACAAATTTCAAAACTACCAGGATTGTTTATTGTGCTACTCAGAAATCAATATGAAATACGAAGCAATGAATATTTCCAACATAATGATACCGAACAGATTTCAGAGTACCTGATATTTAGCTAGTAGAACCTCATCAGCTTCAGCTTCAATTTTTTCCAATAGCTCAACATACTTCTTTGGATCCAACTCCATCTTGGTCTAACAGATTCCGACAATCAACAAGGTTAGGAACAGCTAAAACAACATACAATTTAATGCCCATGACGCCCTCACAAAACCACTGCTGATCAAATAAAGCATTCGGAACACAGGAAAAAACTTTTGATTAGGAGTATAGTCAATCTTCCTAATCTTGATAATGTCGATATTAACCTGTTTATTTGTGCACAAACCAAACAGTAACTAAGCCAGAAAGAAACGATAAGCTATTGGATGCTTGCGTGCTTAAGCTCAATATCAAGTCTAAGACTCTCATTAGACCCATCATCCCAAAACTTTCATTACCGTTTCAACTTTTTGATTCTATGAAGTGATTATTGAATTTCACAATCTTTCTATCGACTTCTATGTGCAAAACCAATCTGAAAACTGGATGAGATAATTGTCTCGTTTCCCTTGGATTCGATGATTTTCGATAACAAATTAACAATTCTGATAAACTCTAAAGCTTAAAACCCTCAATCCCGACCTTGTACCTTGAATCGCGAAATCACATTTTACGATAACGAAGCCACCCACAACACCAACATAAAACTCATAAATAATTCGATTAACAGATTAATCCACCCAATAAAGCCGGGAAAAAAACGGTGGGTGAAAGTTCTTTCTAATTCATATGCATCATCTTAACAAGTGAGTAAGACAAAGTTTCTAAGAAAGTAAAAAATTAACGAAAAACCAACCTTTGAATGGGTTTACAGACGAAGAAAATAAAAAGACCAGAGAAATATCTCGTCGATTTTGTCTAGGAAGGGAAGAAAGAAAACTGATATGGATTTGTATAATTACACAATACAAAACATCGAATTAATGCCCTACTTGTGTGCTTTGTTCTAATATGGGCCAGGCCCAATGATTTTACATTAAATCACAAACTCATAATTAAAGTCAATGTTTTTGTATAGAAAGAGGACAAGTACGTAAAAGTATCAATTTTAGTATAATGCTCGACAAAACTACACTGTATTATCAAAAAGGATAAGATTTGTTCATTGAAAGACATCTGGTGGGTCCAATTTTCACTGCAAAACCCTTGTGGCGGCCTTCTCCAAACGTATCCACTTGGCTTAATTTATTTGACCATCTTCAAATGTTTTTGTTTGTTTCAATTTGAATATTCCAACTCGATGGCTACGTGAACTCTTATATAAACACATTATCAACCTGATATCTTTCATCATCAATCTTCTTCCACTCCATTCCCAAACAAAACAACAAAAAACAAAACCAAAAAAAAAAAAAAAACACAATGCAGCAGATTCACAAACTCTGTTTTCTTGCTCTGTTCTTAGCTCACGCAGCTTTTGCCGTCAAGTTCAACTTCAAGACCTTCGATGGAAACAACTTGTTCTTCCTCGGAGACGCAGAGCTTGGTCCTTCCTCCGATGCTGGCATAGCCCGATCCGGAGCTTTATCCATGACCCGAGACGAAACCCCATTTTCTCACGGCCAAGGTCTCTACATCAATCCAATCCCTTTCAAGCCTTCAAACGATTCTTCTCCTTACTCATTCGAAACCTCTTTCACGTTCTCCATCACTCCTAAAACCAAATCAAACTCCGGTCAAGGCCTCGCCTTCATCATCGTCCCCGCCGCCGATAACTCCGGCGCTTCCGGCGGTGGATTCCTCGGAATCCTCAACAAAACCAACAACGGTAAGCCAGAAAACCACATCTTCGCTGTCGAATTCGACACTTTCCAGAACAAAGATTTCCAAGACATTAGTGGCAATCATGTTGGACTCAACGTCAACTCCATGACATCAAATGTCGCTACAGAAGCTGGTTATTGGGTTCAGACAGTGGTCGGGAAAAGGAAAGTTTGGTCCTTTAAAGATGTGAACTTGAGCAGTGGAGAGAGGTTTAAGGCTTGGGTTGAGTTCAGAAACAGAGACAATAGGATCACGATTACGCTCGCGCCTGAAAACGTCAAGAAACCGAAGAGACCTTTGATCCAAGGTCCGAGAGAGCTCAATGATGTTCTCTTTCAAAACATGTACGCTGGTTTTGCTGGTGCCATGGGACGTGGCGTTGAGCGTCACGACATTTGGAGCTGGTCCTTCGAAAACGGCGCCAAAAACAATTAAAACCGGTTTTGGCTACCGGCTACGTCTCGTTTCCTTTATTTATGCTTAATAAACCGGAGTGAATAATTAACGGTTTGAATAAAAAAGCCTCCTAATCTGTGTGGCTTACTCCGATTCGTATTGTATTTTCATTTCTTCTCTTTTTATTTTTGGTCGAACATTGTATTTTCATATTTGAATTCAGAGATTGATAATAAAAGAAACTTTCTTTTCACATTCATATTTTTTTTTTCTTTTGAAAATCACATACATGAATTGAGAACTGAGATCGAATTTAAGCTCCAAGTCAAGATAAATACTGCGAAAATGCCATAGTTTATCTCCCGACAAGTGTTTTATCTTTCCCTTTTTATGAGTAATTTTAGATGTCATCGTATTGTAAAGTGATGATTAAATCTATTTATCGATAGAAGATGACAAACAGAGCAAATACTTGCATCAACGTAATGAAAACGGTCTGTATATACTATAAATGGAGAATACTAAAAGTCTAAAATATGTTTTCCCATGCAAAAAGACTACAAACGTGGAATGTCTTAGATTTATACACGGATATGTGAATAAAAAAAAACGTTTGATTAGAGAAGGGGGACAAGAAATACATAATGGTATCAATTATTATTCGAATCCAATTATCAAGAATTTTGCTTATTTTGCTCAATTTCCCAATCGAATAAGATAATCCTCGTCCACTGAAAACAGTAGGTCCATTTTGTCTGCAACGCACAGATTTGGTGTTCTAAAATTGACGATTCGATTATCTTTTTTCCCTTGTTTTTGCTCTTTGAAATATTCAAGCAAATGTTACAAAACTCTGTTTTCTTTGCTCTGTTCCTCTTTCACACCACTCAAAGACCTTAACAAAACCAACAGCTAATCCGATCCGGTTCGGTCTAAGTGGTAACTGGAGCGGCCAAATCTTTATTTATCAGTTCAAGTAACAGCCAAATGTGTGGCTTACTGATGAATTATTAACTCGGTTTCGACTTTCGAGCACTACAATATTTAAACGTTAAGAGATTCACTACTGTTGAAAGAATCTGGTCTTATGTGTTATTTACTCCAATTATAATACCCAGAAAGAGTTGCCGTTCTGTTGGGAAGTAAGAGAGAACCCTACAAACACAAAGAGATATGTTTCTTTATTCCAGAGCAAAAATTTGAGGATTTGACCCCCAATGTTTGCCTATATTTATACGTTTGGCCTAATTAAATGTTCTTCCTTTTACGTTCTGTAACATGTAAGGCCGTAGATTAACCACGTCGCTTGCGTCTAAAGAGAGGTGGGGGATTATAAAAAATTGAAACCAAAAAATTGAAAAACTGAACTGAGAGATATAATATAGGAGAAATATTAAGGAACGACTCGACAGTGATTCGTTTCTTTCAGCAGTCGTTTTTGTTTTTATTCTAAAAGGCCGAGAATTTATGAGGCTGAGAGAGAGAGGCTGCTTCTGCTTTTTTTCACGAGTTAAAAGAGGAGAAAAAAACTGTGCTTGGTGTTGTTGTTGTTGTGTGGTTCTGTTTCAATATCGAAAAGATCATTTCTGGTTGGCATCTCAGGTCCTTCTTATCTTCTCCTTCTCACTAAGCTTTAGAAGTTTTTGTGGTAAAGAAGCTTCCTTCCTTTTTTGGTTGTTTATATGATCCAAGATTGCATTTTTCTTGATTATTTATATCTTTTGGGTGTTTTCCTCAAATGGGTCTCTTATGTCCTTAGTTTTCTTTCGTTTCTAGCCTAGGGGTTATTCTTGGGCGGGATCACTCGAAAAGGGGCTTTACATTCTGAGAGTCTTAAGTTCTTGGCGAATGTGTGACTTTTGACTAACCATCTTAAGCAATGAGCTGTTGAATCCGAAATGGTTCCAGTTAGAGTTGGGAATCCAGAGAAGTCATCGGTTACTTGTTGGTTTCTGTTCACTAGCTTTTGGTGGATGATAAATGGAAGGTTCCTCAAACTCCAACTACAGGGGATTCAATACCTCTGGTGTTTCTGACAGGAACACTGAGTTCTTACCCGTTGAGAGAACCACAGCTCGTTCGAAGCCTTCCTCTCATGTTGATGAGTATGTCAGAAGCTTGTTTGGTACTAGTACACACAAGTCCTGCGAAGAAGAGTCTTCAGGGATTGACCCTTTTTTTAGATCCTTGGAATGGGGTGATGTTAGCTTGAGACAGTGGCTGGATAAACCAGAACGATCTGTAGATGTCTTTGAGTGCTTGCACGTTTTCAGACAAATAGTCGAGATTGTGAATGCGGCTCACTCTCAAGGCATTGTCGTTCATAATGTCAGGCCATCTTGTTTCGTCATGTCTTCGTTTAACCATGTTTCCTTCATTGAATCCGCTTCTTGTTCGGACTCTGGCTCCGATTCCTTGGAGGATGGTCCAATTAGCCAGAAGGAAATTGGTAGCTCGAGAAGAGAGGATGCTGTATCGAAAGCTGTTTCAGTAGAAGAGAAAGGAACCTATAATAAGATCTTGGAGAGACAAATCGAGAAACTAGAGGAAGAAAAGAAGCAACCTTTTCCGATGAAACATATTTTAGCAATGGAGACAAGTTGGTATACAAGCCCTGAAGAGGATTTTGGTTCTCCAAGTACTTGTGCTTCAGATGTTTACCGTCTTGGCGTTCTTCTTTTCGAGGTTTGTGATAAGGATATTAACATTGTTTCTAACAAATTATTAGCTGCTTTTGGATTCAAAGTCTCTTTTTTTTTGTCTTCTTTTATCTTGGGTGTTTTTATTTTCTTGAGAAGGTGATTAGATGAAACTTAGTCCCTTTGCAGCTATTCTGCCCTGTGCCTTCAAGAGAAGAGAAGTCAAGAACTATGTCTAGTTTAAGACATCGCGTACTTCCGCCTCAGATATTGCTCAAATGTCCAAAAGAAGCTTCTTTCTGCTTGTGGTTACTGCATCCCGAGCCTACTTGTCGACCATCAATGAGGTTTATGTTGCTTTGATTCATGTCCTTTGTCTGTGCATTGTTAGTCTCTGTCATCTTTTACCAAATGGAATTAATGGAGAGATTGTCTTAATGGTGCAGTGACTTGCTACAAAGCGAGTTTATAACAGAACCAAGAGATAATTTGGAAGAACGTGAAGCAGCAATAGAGCTTAGGGATAGAATTGAGGAACAAGAATCGTTGCTCGAGTTCTTGTTAGTGATTCAACAGAGAAAGCAGGAATCTGCTTATAGATTGCGGGATACGGTTTCACTACTTTCTTCCGACATAGAGCAAGTTGTAAAGAGACAATTGGTTTTGAAGAAAAAGGGAAGCTCATACTCTGAACTCAGCAAAGATGATCATCAATCTGCCTCTGGTCATCCATTGATGAGTTTCACGGCAAACGAAGAGCCTTCTACATTCTTAGCATCAAGAAAACGCTTTAGACAAGTGATTCCGGCAGTGGAAACCGATGTTGAAGTTGATGAGGAGAGTCAAGGAAGCACACTTCTTGAAAGCTCCCGGTTGATGAAAAATTTCAAGAAACTAGAAACTGTCTACTTTCTGACAAGGCGGAGGCAAATGAAAGCTGCTGCTTTGGGGAAGTCATTAACTAGACATTCGCCTTTGAGTAGTGAAAATGGAAGAGGTTCAATGATTGTCTCAGAGAAAAGCTCAGTAAGCAACCCTGCAGCACCCAAAGATTTCTACACTACTAATGATTCGAGACAAGGTGGGTGGATAGATCCATTCCTTGAAGGGTTGTGCAGATATTTATCATTCAGTAAGCTCAGAGTGAAAGCAGATTTAAAACAAGGAGATTTGTTGAACTCTTCTAACCTCGTTTGCGCCCTTGCATTCGACCGAGATGGAGAGTTCCTCGCTACTGCAGGTGTCAACAAGAAAATCAAGATATTCGAATGTAACTCCATTGTGAACGATAACCGGGACATTCACTATCCGGTTGTGGAATTGGCTAGCCGGTCAAAGCTAAGTAGTGTATGTTGGAACAGCTACATAAAGAGTCAAATTGCATCTAGTAACTTTGAAGGCGTGGTTCAGGTTAGTTTTTGAGATTCTGCTTATCGTTGTTAAGAGCTTTCAAATTTCATGAAATCAGTTTGGCATACATTTGTGGCTTTAGATATGGGATGTTGCAAGAAGCCAGCTGGTTACAGAGATGAAAGAGCACAAGAAGCGAGTATGGTCCATCGATATTTCATCAGCAGACCCGACTTTGCTGGCTAGTGGAAGCGATGATGGAACCGTTAAGCTATGGAGTATCAATCAGGCAATTCTAATTTGAAATGTCGGCTATTGAAAACTGAAACTAGTTTCTCCGAAATTGCAGACAATTTTGATCCTCAGGATGTATGATTTAAGTGTTTTTTTGTCTTCTAAAACGTTTTCAGGGAGTTAGCATTGGAACCATCAAGACAAAGGCTAATGTATGCTGTGTCCAGTTTCCATCAGACTCCGGGCGGTCTTTAGCATTCGGTTCTGCAGATCACAAAGTGTATTACTACGATCTTCGGAATCCCAAGATTCCTCTTTGCACAATGATTGGTCACAGTAAGACAGTGAGTTATGTCAAGTTTGTGGATTCATCTACTCTTGTGTCTTCTTCTACTGATAACACGCTGAAGCTTTGGGATTTGTCGATGTCTGCTTCTGGGGTCAGCGAAACCCCTCTCCACTCATTCGCTGGACACACTAATTTAAAGGTAAACATTCTCAAGGAATCTGCTTGAGACTCTCTTCAATTCTCGTTTACTGATGTAAAAATGTTCTTTTAATGTTGCAGAACTTTGTTGGATTATCGGTCTCTGATGGGTATATAGCTACAGGCTCAGAGACTAACGAGGTAAAAGGGTTGGTCAAGAAGGAATCTTTTTTCAGACATTGTCACTTAAAAACTTGATTAACTGAGCTTCTTCATGTTGTGTGGATCCATGACAGGTTTTCGTGTACCACAAGGCATTCCCAATGCCAGTGATGTCGTACATGTTCAATAACACTGAGTCTGCGTCCGGTCTCGAATCGGACGATGCCTCACAGTTCATATCTTCGATCTGCTGGCGAGGACAGTCGTCTACGTTAGTCGCGGCTAACTCCAATGGCAACATCAAGATTCTGGAGATGGTAGCTTGAGAGAGCCTTTGAGGGACAAAAGCGTAATTTAAAAAGTCTCTTGTTCTTCTTGGCAAGAGATCTGTTTTGTTGGAGTACTATAGGGTAAACAAATTGTTATCAAAAGAATAGGAAAAGTGGAAAACATTGTGTATAGAATTTCATTGAAAAAGGACGATACAAATATTCGATCTTGGTATCGGTATACAATGCTTGAGACATCTCAATAAAAAAGATTATAAATTTTATTTAGTTTGTGAATCTGAGGGAGATGACCTGAAACAAGAACAGACTAATCCCCAAATATGAGACCAGAGTAGGTGACGTGGGACACATGGCTTCTACTTAATCAAAACAATGTGTAAGAGCCTTTCTAAACCGAACTAAAGCTCTCTCTGCAACTGCAAGATTCTCTGAAACCCTATATATGTATACATATATTATATATATCGCAAGAACAGTCTCACTCTCCCTGAATTCGATTCCAAGCCCCTCCCCAAAATGATTCCTTTTCTTTTTCCCTTCCAAAATTCGAACTATTTACACTGACTAACTCCTGTTTTGGCCTCATTGACTAACCTGGTCACAAGTCCCTGAAACCTCAGAGCTCCAGCACTAGGCTTAATCTTAGCCACATCACCGACCTGGGAGCACTTTGGTTTCCCACTGCACCACCCACCAGGAGTAAAACCATCTTTATCATTGCTCCGTCTAAGCAACTCCTTATCGATCACGTCGAGCACTTGGTCGTCTCTTCTGAATTTTCTTGCAAATGCAGCACCGCTCGATATCATCTGCGTCGTGTCATTGAGTGACAACACGTGTGGGTGCTGCTGCGGCGGATTGTCCCAGGAGATGTAGTGAAGGTCATGGTTTACTGCGGTTTTTGAGAACTCGGGCACGTTGCAGATTACAGTTTGGAAGTAACCTTCTGGGGAAGACACGAAATTGGTGTAATACATTAGGAGTGTTCGTGGTAAATTGTCCCATCCCCATATGCAATACTCTACAAACGAACGTGATAGAGCCATCCAAGCAGATCCTGTGACAACAACAATACATCAAGCTTTATTGCATGAGAAGTGTTTTTTAATTCTATAGATTTATATCAGCAAGAAAAGAGTTTCAAGCTTTGATACGGTAGAAGATATCTAAAGCAACAATGAAGCTTCAAACACAGTTTAGAGGACTGACCAGTGAATAACTTAAACGCAGTTGGCAAACTTCGACGAGGTGTGACCCAGTATATATCTGATTTGTTCAATAAGTAGAGTCCAGGATCAATCATTAATGGCATTGCTCGCTTCTCCCTTCACAAGGAAACAAGAAATCAGTACACAGCGAAAGATTCAACTAAAGAAGAAACTCAAGAACGCGGAAAAACTTACTCTTTCCAACCTAGCTGACTTGTGTGTTCAATAAAGTTGAGGTTCCGGTCCAGAGTAGAAAACGTATGAAGCAGATCTTCAAATACAGAGATGATTGACAATAAGTTAATCAAACACACAAGTCTAAAATCTTGATGAAAACAGAGAACAAAAGTGAGACCAAAGCTTTATTTACCATCTTGGGTCACCAGGGGATAATCTGAAGCACTAAGATTAATAAACCAATCCCAGTTTGCGCTTCTCTTAAGAAGAACTGCACAAGCGTGAAGGGTATTTGCCACCATTGTTGGTCCTCTATAAGTCACAAGATTAGCCTTGGTTATCATATAGACATTGCCGGTTTTAGAATACATAGGATCCTTATCAATCCGAGAAGCCAGCTCCAATCTCTCATCCACCGGAGATTCAAGATCCAAGTGAACAACATACTGGTTTCTAGGGTGGTACACTGCTCTTAGCGTTCTCCAAAGCTTTTCTACATCCCCTTTAGACCCGGAAACGAGGTATGCAAAACGGGGAAGCTTGTCTTCATGAGGCAAAACATGGACTTGTCTAGCAACTTTGGACTCTGCAAAATCAAGTCTCGTTTGATTCCTGACGAGACGTGAAGGGATGATGGAGAAAATTCCGTTGATTTTTCGAAGAGAAGAGACAAGGCCCATGTTGAAAGAGGTTGCAAGGAGAAAAACGCAGACAAGAGATGTGATCACAAGAGGAAAAACCCATCTCTTCTCCACGTTTACATACCCCATTGCAGCAAACCAGTGATCATGAGACAAAGAAAAAATAAAGCTTCTGAAAGAAAACTGTTGTCTTGCCGAACCAAAACCGGTTTTAGCAGTGTGCAGAGACCAAGTGTAAAGTGATTCACCGCTCTCTTGGAAACTTGGAGCAAAAAGCTTGAATCTTTCAGAATCAACAACAATCTAGAGTCCAGGCTCGATTCAGGCACAAGTACCTATTGAACAAACAAACATATAAGAACCTAGTAAGTTTTCAGAGCCAGAAGTAGAAAGAAGAAGATATTAAAACACGCAGCCGACACATTAAGTTGCCAGATTCGTACGCAATATCAACTTAAAAAGCTATATAGTTTACGAAACAGTTTAGAGTTATAAGACGACAAGGCTTTCCTCCACATAAAAACCTTTTTGGATCCGGATTCATCATCAATCAATCAATCGGACATCTCAGCAGCTAGATTGACCTCACATTAAGCAACTCTTAAAACCCCTCAAAAGTGACATTACCTAAACCCATCGGAAAATTAGAAAAGAAAAAAAAAAGACATTGTCGTAGATTATCCCAAGATCAATTTAATCATCCACATACAAGGCATCAAATAACTCTTCTCACACACCAGCGACACCATCAGAATCTCGAAAGCTGCGATTTAGATCTAGCTTTACTTGTAGAATATACTTTGACTCATCTCAACGATAACAAAAACCAAATCTAGAGATTCAAAACAAAACAAAAAAAGAGAGATCGAGAATCGAAACCCACATAGTTCAAGTACGATAGATTTAATAAGATGAAGAAACCTGAGATTTTTGGTAGTTGTCTTGATGCTGTTTTTCAATCTAGACGCAAAGGAAGTTTTTTTTTTAATCTTGCGCTTTGTTTCTGCTCTACTTTGTGCTCAAAGAACACGGGACACTCCTGTTGTCGAGTAAAGTTTATATAGAGATGAAGAGACAGTGAAATCGCAAAAACAAATAGAAAACTAAACAAAAAAACAAGAAATTACGATTTTTAGTCTTAGAGATTCGAAGAACGTGTCTACAATACTCTGATTCGTGGAGAAATAAAACCGAAGAAAAATTCCCAATCTTTTGTGCTTTCAGCTCTAAATTTCGTTACTTTAGTCTCTCTTCTCTCTGTTCCTTGATTTCTGGAATCTAAACGATTTTTTCTTTTTAAATTTTCGGTTTTTAATTAAACGCAGAGGAAAAAGAAACCGTTTGGCTTACACGATTTCAGAGTTTTTAGATACTACTCCTACTAGGTAAGAGCTTAAAAAGAGTTCTCTACATCTTCTCTACACTACAGAACCGTACGAGTTATGTAAATCACTGAGCAAACGAAAGGCTGACACTTAACCATACACTAATCCAATGGATGAAGTTTAACATTATCTGTGGGACGTGCGTGTAGATGATTACAACACTCTTGACCTTTTAATAATAAACAAAATATTTGTAAATATTTATTGCGTCGACACGTATATGGTAATATGATAGCAACACACTTCTTTATTACTAAACATGATTGTATTTAATTACTTGTCCTAACATAAAAATATGCTCTCTGTGCACCTTGTAGCGAATTAATGGATATTTACTTATTTAACGAAAATTTTTTTTCACTCGAGTGAGTCTGATAATTTTTTTTTTTGTTTCTAAAGAAAGACAAGAATGTTTTTTACCAATACTGTAAAAGACAATAGTCATAAAAAAAAATGTGTCGTTATAATTATGTACGCAAGAATCATTGCTTTCCTTCATTTTTTAAGTGGGGTCCATATAGCAAGAGTCACCAGAAATTTTTGCTTTCACACATGAGAAGCTGAATATTATTCGCACGACTTTATGATATATGATAAATAAATAAAGATATTGTATGTTGCGCGAATTACGTGGTAACAACAAATAACGCGCTCAACTATCTACGCCAGGCGCGTGGAGTGATCACGAGATCGCACCGTCGAGTCTCAATGGGCTTCCAATAACCCAAACTCTGGATTGAGGCCCACACTATACTTTTAATCCGTATATTACGGGTTTAATTTTTTTTGTCAACCTGAGGGGACATTTTTTAGTCAATACAGGCTTGATTGTTCTGTGCTGATTCGTCTATTAAGAAAGTCATGTTTTAACGAGTACGAAAATAAACACTTGTGTATCTTTCAGATACTGGTTTGACATTTTTCGAATTCTTTGACGTTCAAGTTAATAATAAGATAGATAATTTGCTCGGCAACTAAAAGAATATGAAAACATAAAACTTATTTTGTTTCAGTTACTCTAGGTCAACAGAAAGAGATCTGTGCCAACATTTGTTTGTTAATGAGCTGTTTCCAGTGAAACATGATGGTTATTTTGTTAAAACTAAAATGATAGAGGCATAGAGCTAATGTGTTTCGTGAGAGGAAAATATATCATGATTATAATCGGATCTCTCTAGCCTCTAGGCGAAATATGTCGTAGATCCGAGACATTCATGTGTCGCCACTTACATTTGTTAATGTCGTTTAAATCAGCTTGTAAATAAGTGAATTCGAAGTACACAGATATGAAACGACAACTGTATGATTCTATCAAATATAGAGAACCGGTTTACTTGTATAGATGTTTATACCCGGTTTAGTTAGCTGATTCAACTATTTATACAAGTAAACGGGTTCGCTTTATTTGATAGAATCGTTCTTTTTATGATAATTGTATCGTTCTCCTTTGTTTTGTCATTCGAGACAAAACTCTGTTTGATTGCGTGAATGGAGTAGTCGAATACGACTCTAATTCAAATACGAAAATTTTCTTAATGCATAGGGTTTGAATCAGTCTTAAATAATATAGAGTTCATAATTGATTATAAAATTATATCATAAATATTAGATAGAGATTTGAACATATATGATATATTAGTAAATTTTGGAGGGATTTATTTAAATCTTTATGATACATTTTAATTTAAAATCTTGATAATTTGATAGTTTAAACGGGCTATAAAACTAGTTGACATTTTTTGTTTTTGTCCGTCCCATGACTTTTTTACGTAACGTGTATTATTGCCCATTAAAAAGATTGTAAGTTTGTAACAGCTAATTAAATGCTAAACATGGTTAAGAATACGTGGAGATTTGTCTTTTATCCAAACATAGTTACTGTAATTAACAGCTTATTTGGCAATTAATATAGCAACTGAAACTGAACTTGGCTCTGCATCCCATTCGTAGAGTCGTAGAGATTAGATACCTTAATTAATTTTTAAACTATATATTAACTTCAAATATAATATTTGTTTGACAACCTCAAAGATAAATATACCAGCTTTAAACACGAAATTATTTTATTTTTTTGTTACGCAAAGTGTATATACTGATTTATATTAAAGGAATGAGGACCATGAGATTTCTCAAGCTTACTTAAATCTTAAACTGAAAATTTGAACTCAATTATATAAGCAATAAAAACGTTACTGGTTTTGGTATGCGATAAGGCAAGCAACTAATGTATTGACCGATTAAAAATTTATAAGTAAATGGATTCGCTGTGGGTAAATGTTAATAAGAAGATTTTATGTAGAAACATCTCAATGTATGTCAGGTTAATGGTCATTGGTCAATGCCATGCTTTGTAAGCATTTAATTTTATGATCCATACATAAGTTACTAAGTTAAGTAAATTATATATTGAATAAAATAAGTAAGGTTTAATCTTGATTGAGAAATGAACTCTCTTTCTCTTGCCAAAATCTTCTACATATTTCATGCAATATAAAGGGGATTTTAATTAATTTAAATACAAAGAAAGTCAATAGTCAACTTATATAAATAAGAGTTGACTTTGACCATCCAAAATCCTATCCCTTAGGGACAGATTTATTTTTTCTTCTTGTCATTAAACATTACGGACTTGCACTTTTCTGCTAAAGAACAAGTTTATTTTGCAGAGGAACAACTGATTTTTGTAATTACTAGTGTTTTTATTCTCAACATTATATAATTTTGCCAATTTCCACTGATAGAGAATCATAAAATTATTAGAGAAATATGGAAAGGTCCAACATTTTATTTATAAAAAACACGTTTTGCAAATTTGGATAGTAACTAATAAGAAAGATTAGAAAGAAATAAATTAAAGAGAGAGAGATTCAATAGAAGAATATCTTTATTTCCTTAAAATGAATGTTTATATGCTGAACGAGAAAATCTTTTTTAAAAGTCTTGAAGATAGAGATTTGAAGAAATAGCCAAAAGAGAAATCTGTCTGATCCAGTCTTTCCTCTTCTCTCTCCATTGATAGAGAAGAAGAAGAAGAACAGGGTCTCTCTCTCTCCTCCCCCCCTAAAGACTCGATTTTTTTCTTCCTTTAGATTTCAGATTTTATTCCCAGTTATCAGATTAGATTTTCCTCTGGAGCCAAAACCCTGAGATTTTTGGGACAATCTCTTTGACACTCATTTATCTTAAAATCCCGATAACCTTTTCCGTTAAAGCCTTAAAGGTCCATTTTTTCTTAAATGGTCTTTAAATATTTTCCTCAATTCTGCGTTTTTAAATAAAAGAAAAAATCCGAGCTGAATAATAATCTTGGGGTCTGATTTAAAGGACATATCTTTGTTGTTGATTGGTTGACACATCCCTCTGTTCTTTTTCTGATTCTCGTATGTTCTTAAATCTTCTTTATTTCTTTGCGCTTTTTTGTTGGGTTTTTTCTTCTTTTTCTTCCATTTCTCTGACAGATCTTTTTAAAATTTTGTCTCGATCTCAGCTTCATTGACAATGTCACAGTTCTTACAGTGATTTTCCCTCTGTTCTTGTTTGAAGGGAAAAGGGACCAAAAAATGGGTGCGCAGATTATACTGTGTGATGGCTTCGAGGTGGTTCCTCCGCCGGAGATGAACGACCTAATACTCTTTGGAAGCGACCAATCTGGTGGATCAAATTGCGATGACTCAACGGTCACGACCGAAGAAGACGGCACTGTTTTTTCCGGCGATAGTTCACCGGGAGGTGCGGCTGAAGAGGAATGGCCTGAAGCTAAGCCTTTCTCTTTCTACTTCGTTAAACAACCAGCTTATGATGATCCCGATATCAAAGCCAAGATCAATGAAGCTGATTTGGAGATTTATCAGTGTAATAAACGCAGAATTGATATCTCGAATACTCAGAAATCCGAAAGGGTGAGTCTTTATTTCTAAAGCCACTTTTTTTTTTTGGGTTTGATGATTGTTACGTTTCCAAAAATTTTGATTTTGGGTTTTGTTGCAGGCTGAGATTTCGTCTTTGTTTGCTCAAATCGAGAGTTTGATTCCTAAATCGGATGGATATAAAATGGTTTTTGAAGAGAAGAAGAGGGAATTTGATACTCTGCAGGAAGCTCTACGGAATCTCCGGTGCTCTAGTAGTGATCAGCTTTGTTTTTCCAAGGAGGAACTCGATCATCTTGTAATGAAATTGTTTCTCTACACCGACCATAATAGCGTTAAAAAAATCGTTTTTTTAGGTTGCTGATTGTAAATGTGTTTAATGTTGGTGGATGCAGATCTACATAGCACATTACGTGATTGAGCATGGAAGCACTGGTTTGGAGGAAGAAGATTGGGTGCTTAAGGAGACCGAGAAGCCCGATGGGATAATTGTAAGTGAGGATTCTCTTGCAAAGAAAGAAACTTCCATATACAGTCTTAAGGTAAGCTCTAATCGAACCTAATGATTTGGAGGGTTTAACCAAACATTGTTGAATCTAATGATGTGAGGTTTTTTGTTTGCCTCATCAGTCAATGGCTGTGGAAATGAATGAAGTAAAGAAGGACCTCGATGAAATTACATGGAAGATTAACCTCTTGAGTGACAAAATGGGACAGATTCAGAACAAGATCATGGTTTTGGATGTAGAAATGGCACTCGTACTTGAGAAGAGAGACAAATCCTATGAAAGGATTAAGATGCTGAGGATACAACGAGACAAAGGGGTAAAAGCTTTATTTCTCTTTTTTTTTATTTCGCTTATGGATGATCTCAAAAATCTAACAAAGATTTGGGTTATGTTTGTGTTTGGTTTTTGTTAGAATGCCGCCTTTTTCCAGAGCCTTGCTGTTATGAGGAAAGCTAAAGAATTGGCTGCTTCTGGAAATGTGAGAGATCTTGAAGTGTTTGCTAGCTCTGAGGTTTGTATGTTTTTTCCTGTCTTATTGCAGGATTAATTGGTTCAGTGTGTATAAGATTTGAGCATCTGTTCCTGATTCTGTCTTTTTTGGTATAGGATGATAGATTCATGACTCATTGGAACCATGACAAGGCTTTTAGAGATGATTACGTAAAGAGAATCTCGCATTCACTCTATGAAAGAAAAATGAGCCGAGATGGGCGGATTAGAGATCCTGAAGTTCAGGTTGTTCGGGAAAAACAAGCGCCGGTTAAGACTAGAAAAGACGGTGTGGCAGTTCACAAGACGAATAGAGAAGATTCCAGCTCCAACTCGTCTCTAAATGGAGATGCAAACACCGATAATCGAAAGAAAGACGTGAGGAAAAAGGCAATAGATTTCAACAGGTCGAGTGCTGAGGAGAGTGATGTTACAGATTTGGAATTCCCTGTGTATGAGAATCCAAGAAAGAAAGAAGAAGAAGAGGTGGATGAAGAAACTTTGAAGGAGAGGAAACGAGAAGAGCAGTTAGAGAAAGCTCGGTTAGCGATGGAAAGGAAGAGGAAGCTACAAGAGAAAGCTGCTGCTAAAGCTGCTATAAGAGCTCAAAAGGAAGCTGAAAAGAAACTCAAGGCAAATTACTTACTATCCTGTTTCGTTTTTTCTGAAAGTTTCACTAACTCTTCCAATCTATTTCTCTGTTTTCTTAACTTTTTTGTTTTTGTTTTTGTTATCAGGATTGTGAGAAGAAAGCGAAGAAGAAAGCTGCTGCAAACTCTTCTTCTCCTTCAGAATTAGACCAATCACGAGAAGTAATCAATGAGCTGGAAAAGGTTAGAACTTTAGCAGTTTCAGGGAAAGAGAAACACCAGAAGGAGAGATCATTGTTTCCAAAGCAGAGAAGTTTCAGGTACAAACACCGTGGAAGAGGAACCGAAGCTCTACCTAAAGCTATCCTAAACCGTAGAAGGGCTCACAGATATTGGGTTTGGGGACTTTCTTCTGCTGCACTTGCTCTTGCTCTCTTCCTAGTGGTTTTACTTCTGCGGTGTTGAGAAAGGAAAGAGACATCCAAAAGGTTTTGAATTTACTACCTTAACTGAAAAGGAGATATAGTGAGTGAAGGAGCAGGTGCTAGCTTTTAGTTCTTTTTAGTTTCATAACCTTAGATAGTAAAATATGTTTCTGTCTCTTTGGAGAGAGTTGTCTGAAAAACAAGAAACATCCTAATTGTGAGTAGGAGCTTAAGTCCATAGGAGACTTCATGATGTCTTATACATTGTGGATTGAATCCACTTTATAGTTACTGTCAAGTCTCTTGACTGATTACATATCATGAGAAATTGCAAATAGTATAATCAAAGCTCAATTTCCCTGTCTCGTTACATCTGTCAGAAGCTAAAGTCTAGTTCTCACAGGTTGGTTATCCAGAATCCATATTTTATTCAACTTTTTGATTGGTAAAAAAGATCCAAAATTTCAAAACTATAGATAAATGAATCAAATATAGAACGGTAGAAATCAACATCCATGTGGTCTGAAGGGACCCTTTATCAGCAACCTAACGTCCTTTGTATCTAACTCTTCTTCAACTCCACAGCTAAAGAACTCATTGTGAACTTCCTTGAGGAATTTTAGAAGGTTCGCTAATGATCCTCTGCTTCTGCTCTCGTCTCTCTTCCTCTCTGCGTACGATGGTTTCGACTCTATGTTTATGCAACCGTGTTTGAAATAAAAGTACTTGCTGATCTGCAACAAGTTTCTCTTGTGATGAGGCCAAACATCAACAGTATCATCCACAATCACGATTCCACGCTCATCAGCTAAGACAAGATCAAGTGTCTTCGTGTTAGGACTGTCTCCTCTTGTGATCACTCGATCCCCGAAATAGGTTTTGTTTGGATCGATCACCCTCACCACAGCTTGAGCGTAACGGAAATCGCCTTTTGTGTAAACATACATGTTGAAAAGCTTGTTTGCTTCTCTAAGGAACTCGTTAACAAAAGGTCGAGACTTTATTAACCAGCCCCTGAAATGCCATAGATTTTTCTTTGAACCTGATCTCTCATATTCGATTAGATACTTCTCTGCTTCAGAAAGATCGGAAGCCTTGACGGAGTGGACTAGCGTGTGGTCCAAGTCAAGGACCAAGTGAAGCTTCTTGTGTCCGTGAAGTGAGGTCAAGGTTGTGAGACGCTTTGTAAAGGATACAGCTTCGTGGCTGAGACCTAAACCGGAGAAAAGATAGTTGAATTTTTGGCCTTGGACAAGGCTCGGCTTTGTTTTACAGGCGAGGCAGATTCTCTGACGAACGAACCAATGACCACAATTACCAAGAGAAGAAGACGATAGCTTGTTCATCATCTCTGGATTGATCTTCCGAGTTTTCTTCTGCTTTTGTTTCAGAAAAAGTTTTCTTAACTGGATTGCAAAAAAAAGAGTGCAAAAGAAAGAAGGAAGAAATTGAATTACGGACAATAACATCATCGTGTTTTTATATAAATCAATGGTTTTTCGATTCCTAAGAAAGATCGATAAACCCTCAAAAGCCAGAGAAAAGGAAAATCCAAATCTTGTGATTAATTAATTGGCAGAAAAACCACCAAAACCCTACTCGAGTATCTACATGGAGGAAAGAAATCTGATTTTATTGGAATGAAAAGAGGAAGGTCAATAATATATCAAAATAAAAGGAAACAAACAAAAATTAAGGGTATCGAATTTAGGAAATACCATTGTACAGTAACAGTTTTTCTCTTTTATTAACGATTCCAAACCGGATCCGTACCAGCGCTCGGACCAGTAAATTTGGCGATCCATCTCTAATCCAGTCCTGGTCTAATGCTGCTAATTTATATCAACTAATTATAAATCTGATAAAATCTGGTAAAACCTAGCAAAGCCCGCATTGACCTGCAAACTATTAAGGTAAATAAACATGTTTTTGTGTAAAGTATGTTGGTTGTGATCTTTTAGAAAATGAGGAGATTTGATATATTGTTAGTTTATTTTTCGTCTTTATATTATTTTAATGTTTTTATTTTGGGTTAATTTGGATTTAGAATGTTCATCACTCTAACAAAAAGATGCATTCCAATATTTTGAGCAACCATGTTGTCATTGATCTAGTTTGCTATTGTATAGGTAGATAATGGCTGCTTCATCACGCTCATTGGTGATGTTAAAGCTAATAAAATAGAGATTTAAATGAATCAAATTTTACGCAAAGGACGTTAGGATCTGCAAGAAGTTTCTCTTGTGATGAGGCCAAACATCAACAGTATCATCTCCACGCTCATCAGCTAAGACAAGATCAAGTGTCTTCGTGTTAGGACTGTCTCTTCTTGTGATCACTCGATCCCTGAAATAGGTTTTGTTTGGATCGATCACCCTCACCACATGCAGCTTGAGCGTAACGGAAATTGCCTTTTGTGTAAAGATACGTACATGTTAAAAAGTTTGTTGGCTTCTCTAAGGAACTCGTCAACAAAAGGTCGAGACTTTATTAACAGGCCCTCGAATTTCCATAGATTTTTGTTTGATCCTGATCTCTCTTCTTCGATTAGATACTTATCTTCTTCGGAATGAGTGAAAGCCGTAACGGAGTGGACTAGCGTGTGGTCCAAGTCAAGGACCAATTGAAGCTTCTTGTGTCCGTAAAGTGAGATTTGGTTACAGACAATGACACAGATCGTGTTTTTTAATGACACAATCGATAAACCCTCAAAGCCAGAAAAAATGAAAACCCCAAACTTCGTTGAAATAATTTATTATTATTCCTAATAACGTTTGTGTTTACATTTTAAACATATTCACACAGAATCATATTCATGGCGTACGTATGCACTTAATCTTGTCTACGAAATCTCTACTTTTGAGTTTATTTAGAGACTAAAACTAATACAACACTCTTAGAATTACCCCATATATAGTATTCCAATAATTTATTTTTCATATTCTTTCTAAAAAATCAAGCGTACCCACAATATCCATACTCGCATCTAACCCCGGGTTTACATTTTTTGTTGCATTTACCACAATGCTCAGGATTAAACCCAACGCAGGTGCATATGCCTCCGCAACATCGTTGCCCGAATCTGCATTTGTGACCGCACCGTCCACAGTTATTCATGTCTCCTAAGATGTTTCGACAATGCTTCTTGCAACAATACAACAAACTCGTCCCATTTTCCGCTTTTACACCATTGCAAATGTTGTGACTCACGACATGACATCTCATCCCTTTTCTGATCTTTTTGTAGTGGGAAACCAGTAGTCGGGTTTTGGATGACACTGTTAGATTCGAGAGTATTGTGGGAGTTTCGTCAAGAATATAGAACTCTGGCTCTTCTTCATTGGTAACTTCTTCGGTTAAAACCGAATGAGGGCTAGACGTTGCGGTTATGAGGGAATAGAGGATTACGGAGATGAGTGGCATGAGTTTAACGAACGTATAAGAAGGGATCTTAATGACCATTCTTGTTTAAGTTTGGGTTTGGAACACAAATTAAAGAAGCAGAAGGAAGAGTTGAATTTAAGGGAAAGATGTCAGATATTAATTTAGAGTGTCATAAGATGTTTTCTTAAATTCAAGATTTGAAATATGATTATTAAACTGTTCTCTAATTCCTTAAATTTAGGCAAAAACAAGTGATTGCTGTCTAATTGTAACGGAAGGGGAAAAAGGGCAAGTGCAATACCTTCACTTACAAGTATCTTTTTGCTACAATCGGTTATCATGACGTTTTTTTAGTTGTCGTATTGAGCAAAATGTTACTTTAAATTATAATTTTTGGTTAACGGTTAATATTGCCCAAAATGTTCTTTTTACAGAGGCGTTTAAACTTGAGATAAATAAAAAAAAAATTTGGTGAAACTCCAGATTGTTATAGTGTCTAAATTTGAGATTAATACTTTAATTTTGTTTGTTACACCCTTTCTTAACAGCGTCTTATCATTTGTTACGTTTGCTTTTGCTTGTGTAGATGAATCACACAAAAAAAAAAATTATATTTCAATATACAGTATCAGTATATACTGACATACTGTTCATTTAAATTTTGAGGATATACCTAATGTTTCTCAAATATTCATCTCCCAAAAAGGAAATATCAAGTGTTTATTTCTGGTATTACATGTCAAGTTATTTTTTTTTTAACATGTCAAGTTATTGGTTATTTAATTTTATGTCTTTAGTCGGAGAAATATCTCTAGTCTTCCGATTGAGGCATTGCTGATTTAACTTCTCATCACAGTTTTCTTTTTCTTTTTCTTTTTTGGGGAATTTGGTCACGAAATCAACTCTACCCTTCTACTAAAACCAAAATAGCACATATTGTTTCCAAATTATTTAATTTGGACTTTTACAAAAAAAAAAAAACGTTATAGTTCTTTTGTCACTCAGACAAAATAAGACATTTTACTGTTATGCTGAGAACTCATGCAGATCATGAGTTGTCTCACACGGAAACCTATGTAAGGCTCGCACGTATGGTGACGGTAGTTGTGCCACGAAACTCGGTAAGAGTCACATGCCCGTCACGCTTACTTGCAAAACGCGACGAATACAATCCAATGCATTCCCTCCACGCGTCGTTTACTTCTCACTTCCACTGTTTGTGACAGTCGCATCGCCACCGCACAAACTCGTTTCTTTACTTGGAGCTTTACGTTGACTATCTCCTAAAGTTGACCGGTGACCTCCGAAGAGCCGGTTGGAATTCCATTGAGCACGTGAATTCCATTTTCCAGTATTATTTTAAAAATACTCTCTATGTTCACTGATCCGAGACTCTTTTACGCAAATAAACATCTTACAAGCCTATATACTGATTCTATATATATGCTAGCATTCATGTTCTCTCAAAGGTCAAGGTATTTTGTTTGTTTTCTCACTGAATTAACTTATTAATACAATCTGTATGAAGCCATTCGAGATATTCCTGTAATCTTGTTATAGAAAGCCTCAGAAATGGAGGGTTATCTTTTATCCACTAGCGGGTCCCGTAAATATGCTCATTGGCCAATCTGGCCCAAGTTTTACCCGGAAACGATTTGCGTATTAGATAAGACCAAGCTTATACAAATTACAATAAGCTCTTAGGTCTTTCATATTTGAGTAGATGCAAGAAGTTGTTTTGCTTGATTGCTTTCCCTTTGTTAATAATTGAACTTTAATTGACTAACCTAGGCAGCTCTTGTGACAAAACTTTCTGTGAATTTTGAGTTTCTTTTTACCAAATTCTCATTTGTCTTCTCTGTTTTTATCACATTAGTCTTTTCTTGTGGAAAAGTAAATAGTTTTTGACAATATTTTTTGTGTTTACTATTACAGCCGATTAAATATTTTTTATTCTTTTTATCATCAAATATTATCATAAAAGAATATCAGAATCTTTTATATATATTATTTAAACTCTTCTATCATTCTTTCGAGGCAAAATTTAGGTAAAGTTAAAGACATGGTTTGAACTTTGAACCATGGATGAGATTTAACCTAACCTGAAAATATGTCTAATTTCACAGAATCTAAGTACGTTGATGATTATGATAAGAACGCACTTCTTAGCCACTAATATAAGCATCTTTAGCTTACCATGAAAAGTTTGAATTTATCTTTTTCAGCACTTAATGGTGGATGAATGGTTTATTAATATTAATCGTCGTACGAATTCAATTTGAAGTAGTATGAATATATTCCCACGCACATTTGCAACCAAAATAAGTAGAAAGAAAGAAAGTGGGAAACCAACTATGGTCTATGGGGTAGGCGATTAAAAGAAACAAAAAATATGGGTTAGGCGTTAAAGATCCATCCTCTTCTTAAATATTTAGTTATTTACAGTTTGTTCCTCACATTCATAGATAATACTATTAAAATAGTCATTGTCTCCCAAACTTATTATTGCGATTGACTTTCAACCACGGCTATGATAAAATATTATTTGCCTACATTAACCAAGAATATATCAATATGATCTCAAAGTTTTTTTTCTATTGTCATCAGAAATCTGCTAAATTCAAAATACCACATAATTGTATAATTAGTTTAATTAAGCATAGTAAAGAAGATCAATCTTAACATCATCAACATAATTGCTTTAATTGATTAAGTATATTATAGAGGAAAAAAGTTTTTCTTAGAATCATAATATGATGGACTAATCAAACCAAATCGGTTTATCGCAACATCAATAGTTCTATAAATTAAAGTGCTCAAACACGACTTATACTATTTTTCATCAACATATATGTTCTACTTCTTATGGACAATCATGTAGTTCTGATAATTATTTACTCTATTTAATTAGACCGGCCAAACCGAAGTTAATTATAGTTAGTAGAAGTGGACTAATGAGAGGATTTGCTAGTTCAACTATGAAAAATAAACCAATATCAGGCATACAAGTGTCCCAGTGGTCTGACGACTTTTGATTTTTATATACATCATTAGGGTTTGCGGCTCAATACATGCACGCCTATCGGATCTTTTTTTTTCTTCATTTCTAAAAAAGCCAGTCTAAATTGAAACTTGGACAAAAGATTTTTGTTAATTTTAGGAAAGTTATATTGACTTGACTTATTCTTATGGAAATGAATAAGAATATTTCTTTAAATTTTATTTAACCAAAGTCTACTTCCATGAACAAGTCCTAGAGACAGAAAAAACCTAATCCAAATAATTGTAATGTATATCTGTGTATATATACTGTATACATAGGTCTCATACACGTACTTAGCATTTATACGTATTCAAACTTCGACTAATTCATTATTTATTATTTTTCAATTATATGGCATATAATATCTCTAATATTGAATAACCGAAGCTAGGTTTGTATATATGATTGTATCATTGTTTATCTACGTGATTTTTTATATCTATACGTGATTTTTTTTTTTAAAGTATGTAATATCTCACATATATAGTCCACTATGAGAAAGAACTCGCAGTTTCTTTCGTTTGCAATCACAAATGAAAATTTGATACGTCGATGTCACACTCACACGCATATATTTATGTAAAAATGAAATATATCTATGTGTACAACTTTGATTGGTATGTGGAACATTTCCACGGATATGAATAAGCTATATATATGGGAGACCAAGATCCGATAAAATCTATATATTCATATATGTATGTATAGTTGTATAGGTGTATGCATGCACATTTAAAGATATGACTTTGATAATTACATTAGCCGAGAGGAGCATTATGATTTTTTATTTATATATATATTTTTTTTTGGCAAAAAGAAAAGGCACTTATGTTGTCATTTATAGTTTTTTTATAACTCGAGTATCAGATATAATTTGTTGTTCCGATAAAGTTTTGGAATTTATATTCCCTTAAAATATGTAATAAGCATTCTCTGAATAGTGTGCAAAATTATAGATTTTAGTATATATTTGTGGGTGTTTTTTTTAACGGCTTATATATTAGAGTCTAATAAAGACAAAGTTCCCTTCTTACATTTGCAATTTCTTCCTTTTATGTACTATGGCAGACAAATTCAAAGTAAGAATTTTAAATTAGCTAATAAAAACATCTTTTGATTCCCTGGGCACAAATCCTCATGTCAACTTTTATTTGTCTGTATTTTTTATTAAATACTCAATTTTTTTTTTCAATAAAGAAAGATTCCAAATTTAAATTAAACAACCAATCCAACTTCTTTTATAATCCCAAAACCTTAAGATGAGACCACCATTTAGTTTCATCCTCTTCTTCTTTTTTCACTCAAACTCGAACAGAAAATTTCCAATTTTAATAGTTAGGTTTTAGTAGAGTTCTGTTTTAGGGAGACCTTAAAAAATTCAGAAGCTTCTAAAAAAAGGATAAACATCATCAATGGAGATTGCAACAAAACCAGGAGATTCCAGAAACCCATCTTCTACTTCTTCTTCATCAGCTTCGTCTTCCATTAACAATGGATCTTTACATCACCACATCATCACCAGATCCGATCATTATCCGACAACTTTCGTTCAAGCAGACACTTCTTCTTTCAAACAAGTTGTCCAGATGCTCACCGGAAGCTCCTCCCCAAGATCCCCTGACTCGCCGCGTCCTCCGGTGACTCATTCCGGCAAGGGTAATTTCGTGATTCCACCGATCAAAACCGCACAACCGAAGAAACATTCGGGAAACAAACTTTACGAGCGGAGATCTCACGGCGGATTTAACAACAACCTCAAGAACAGCCTCATGATTAATACACTCATGATCGGCGGCGCAAACGGTGCCGGAAGCCCGAGATTCTCGCCGAGAAGTCAGGAGATTCTGTCGCCTAGCTGTCTTGATTTCCCGAAGCTAGCACTGAACAGCCCCGTGACGCCGCTGAAACACGGCGGCGACGGAAACGACGGCGACCCTTTCGACAGGATGTCGCCATTGTCTGAGGAAGAGAGAGCCATCTCCGAAAAAGGTTATTACTTGCATCGGTCGCCGATTTCTACTCCGAGAGAATCGGAGCCGCAACTTCTGCCTCTGTTCCCGGTGACTTCGCCGAGAGTAGTGCCGGAGAAGTAGAACTTGAGGAGAGACAAGAGAGAACGTTTTATTAATTTTACCGCGACTGTGATTTTCGTTGTTAACTCTGCTCTGCTTTTTAATCCTTGCTTCGTTTTACAGTTTACCAAAATGTGTCAATTATTTAAATAAATATAAGTGAAATATATGAGAGGTCAAAGATAAGATACTCAAGAGTCAGTCACGATATGTAAACTATACAAACGCACGATTACAGTTAGATAACTTCTAATTAAAATGAAAAATTATAACTACAATTTCAAGAGCAACTTGCAATATTAAAATTTTCTGGAGGAGTTACCGTTGAAATTTATATTAAGATAGTAAGTAATGTGTAAGGGATTTGTCTTTTGCTATTTCTGTTTTTGTCAACAGAGATTTGTCTTTTGCTATTTGACTAGTTATTCTTTACATCATCGACTTATATATAAAAAGTTATCATGTGATGATTTTGAATCATTATCTCCTCAATTTTATTCGTCATCGATGATAAGTTGATAACTTTACCAAATTAGCTGTCGTTTTCCTGCCAAATTTCGTAATAGATTTCGAGCAAAAATTCTTGCAGCTTTGAACCTTAAAACTAAGAAATTATTGAGAAAAATTCTCATTTTGAGTTTATTTATTATAAAAAAAAAATTGCCTTATACTAAATTTTTTATAAGCTAAATTTTTATATCAAGATTACAACACGGGTCACTTATACTGACCGATAATTTCATCTTTTACAAAGGAAAGTGGACTTTTAGTTTTTTGCTTTCTCAGAGACGAGGAGATGCAGTGAGAGGCTTCTGTGTAGCGTTACGGTAATCATAAACTCCGATTCCTCGTTTTCTTCCTAATCTTCCAGCATCAACGTACTGAACGAGAAGAGGACAAGGTGCGTATTTTGAGTCTCCAAGTCCCTGATGCAGCACTTTCATTACGGACAAGCACACGTCTAGACCGATCAAGTCCGCTAACTCCAGAGGACCCATCGGGTGGTTTGTGCCGTGTTTCATTCCACTGTCAATGTCTTCCTTTGTAGCCACCCCTGTGTACAGTGTGTGGAACGCTTCATTGATCATCGGCATGAGGATCCGGTTCACGATGAAGCCCGCGTAGTCTTGTGAGCACACTGTTGTCTTGCCAAACCTGCATGGTCCAGCGGTTTAGTTAGTTGGTCAGTTGTTTCCCTATACCAATCACCAAAAAATATTCCAGTGAAACTGTGTTCGATTCTGATACTCGAGTTGAAGTTTTTGACATGATACATTTGAAATTGCATCCCCAAATTAGATATTACCAGGAAAATTTCGCATATATGTAAAACTTATATCAAGGAAAAATCAAACCTTTCAGCAAGAGCTTTTGTAGCAATAAACGTCTCGTCTGAGGTGTCCGTGCCGCGAATAATCTCAACCAGTTTCATTATCGGAGGAGGGTTCATAAAGTGCATTCCAATGACCTATAGACAAAGAAGAAACACTTAAGACGGTTCGAAAGTGCTTGGACTTGATACACTCATGAACAAGATAGACGATCGATTTTAGCAGAGGAAGTAAAGAGTCTTGAACCTGGCTGGGTCTTTGTGTTGCGGATGCAAGACGAGTAATGGAGATTGAACTTGTGTTAGAAGCTAAAATCGCAGAACTCTTGGCTATACCATCTAAATCCTTGAACAGTTTCTTCTTGACGTCTTCGGATTCCACAATGGCTTCAACGATGATATCAGCAGAACACAAATCTTGTAGATTGGATGTTAAACGTAGACGATGCATAGCATCATCACCAGCTTCCTACAACGTACAATTCAGTCTGGTGTTAATGGTTTGGATTAGGATTACCACAAGTTTCAACCATTTTACCTTACCTAAGTTCCGAAATATCCTGAAGTTAACACACTGTCACTATCATAGTATCATCATTCATCAAACCTAGAAGTCACTTTTCTTGGGAAATAAACAGAACACGCCATAATTCGATTAAGTAGTATTGGCTTTACTGGAAATCTCTCTTAACAATGATCTATTGATCTATCAACTAAATAATCCGATGGCAGTAAATTCAAATCCAAATTCAAAGGAGGAAAACATATAATTGAAGGAATTCTCGATTAAACTCTTGCCTTGGCGATTAGACCTTTGGAGACGAAACGTTTGACGGAGGAGGAGATAGCTGCGGTGGCTCGAGAGAGCGCATCCCGATCAGCGTCCATCAGCCAAACGTCGAGGCCGTTCGTGGCGGCGAGTTGTGCGATTCCTGAACCCATCTGACCAGCACCCACTACTCCGACACACTTTATCTCCGCCATCTTCTTCTCCGAGTCGCCGGCGATCCTAGTCTCTCTGCAAATTCCCAAATGAAAGAAAAATTGTATCATTTGCCAGCTTTGCTTCCCAAGCTGGGCCTGATCTCTAATGGGCCTACTAGTTTAAATGGGCCAAAATTATACGGACAAGCTTGGTTTCTATTCTTTGATGGGTGCCGTTTTGAGCACGTATCGAGACGCGACACGTAAACTAGGAAACGTGTCGTACAAATGTTCACGTGTCGTTGGCCCAGTCATCCACCATTCCACTGACTTCCGCAAGCTTTGGATCTTCGCTAAGTACTTCATAAACAGTTGAGATAATGTGGGAAAGCAACAGATTAAAGTAAAAATCAAGTAAACAAAAAATTAAGGAGAAAAATTAACAATGTCGATTAGGTTTATGGTGAAGAGACTCGCAACGGTGACCGTTTCAAAAACTCATGGAGGAGATGTCTCCGGTTATGTTCTCCGACAAGCTCCTACCCGGTTCGATCGCTTCTTCACAGCTTTTAGGCCAACGGAGGTATGTCCATGATTTAATATCATTTTGAAGTAACATTTTGAGATTATTAATTAGTTAATAGTTATATACACATCTTCCATAAATGGTATCTAAGAATGTTTCATATTTTGGTTTCTCGTTATATCTTTATTTGTTATTAGGGCTAATCATTTAGGGATTATTATTTTATAGAACATGAAAGACCGTCACTACGAGCAAGGTTCAAACATTGCAAACGACGATAGGTCAACAACGAGTTACGTAACGGACAAGGCAAAGGAAGGGGTGAAGAAAGCGACGGATGTAGCCATCAACGCCGGAGATAACATGAAGGATGCGATGGACGGCGCCTGGAAAGCGGCGAAGGAAACGGGTCAGAACATCAGCGAAGCGGTTGCGGGCGATGATGATGACGGCGACAGGATTCAAGAAGACAAGGTCGCGGTGGAGCTGAAGGATGTGAGTCAGCCTGTCGACACGACAGAATATAGAGGTGTGGAGGATCTACATCAGCAAACCGACGCCGAAAACAAGTCAGCGTGAGGCTAATAATGTGTTAGGGTTTCTAATTCTGTTTTTTTCCTTATTTTTTGTTTCAATGAGAGACGTTTTATGAATGAAACCGTTGCTAAATTTGATTAATTAGTTTAACTAAAATTGAAAACTGTGAGTTTAAACTATAAGCAGATGTCATATGCAAGCATAATCTCCTAATATGTATTGTGACGTGATTGCATGCAAGAAATGATACGATAATAAGTGTGTATATATATCAATTGACAAATGTCTAAAAGAGTTTGGTTGTGGGGTTGGGTCTGAATAAACAGCTGCATCGCACATTCCGTAGGGAATCTCACGTTAGCAATATTTAAAGTTGGTTCCATTCAAAATTCCCGTAAAAGGAGAGACAAATTCTCTTGGTTTAAAATCGCCTAGCTCAAACCTGTTACACGAATGGATCGGTAACAAATTGTGTACTATTTACCTAAACTAGTACTTTAATTTCTTCTAAGAAACAATAATGAGTATTGTGAATCGTTATACGTACACAGTAAGAATTATGAAAAAACAGTATTTCCTTTTGCTCTTTATTGTTTTATTTTGTAAGATTTCACGATGGCACTATTGATACTAAATATGCCTAATTTTTTCAATTTTTATAAATATATTTTTTTTCATAATTAAAACTTTTGGTGTTCAAATCCATGATAATATCATATCTAGTTTTTTGGCATCTATGACAAATAAACAGAACTAATATTCTCTTTGCCATGTAGGAGACAAGTGGAACCGAAAACGAAAAGAGGCATCTCTGATTCTCTGGTGTTTAGTAGTGGGTTAAGAGATAGCTACGTGCGTTTTGTTTCCTAACGTTAAAGTGATAAATGCGAAACTAGTGAAATTCGCCATGACTGAGAAGGAAATGGCCTATATGATATTCCCCACTTCATGGATTAATATAATAGCATCTCTCTTCTTCTTCTTTTTTCCCTTCTACAGGTTCGATTTTAGGATATATCTTTTTGTAGGGCCAAAACTTGAAATCGGCACCGAGCAGACGGAGACGAGCATTAACTTATCATATTCTTACTTTTTTTCCGCTTTGTTCTTCACAAGATTTCAAAGAGAATCACTTCTCGCTCACACAAATACGTTTTACAAAATCCTGTACCTATATAGCATATTCTTTTAGGGTGTGATAAAAAATAGGACTTAAATTTTAAGATGAAAGATAATCAAAGGGTTATGTAAAACAAGTGCCGCTTTGCAAAACCCCAAAAGCTTAAGTCGTAGATGATAGATTCAAGACATGAGTACAGTTTGGCATGTGAAACCTTTTATGTCCTGTCTATTTCACTACCCACTACTTCTAACTATTTCTCTTTCTTACATTGCTGTAATGTATAAATAATTTAAAAAGAAAAAAAAAAGCGAAGCAAAGAAAGCTCCAGTGTTAATTTTTATTCCCAGAAAGAAACAGACAAATAAGAAATCACACAGTTGAAAAGAAAAAGAAAAGAGTAAATAGAAGCACTGATGATTGCATCTTACAGAGGAAACTTGTATATATCATGTTCTGATTCTTTAGCTGGTCCAAACTCAAAGACTCATTACTCGTTTCAGTGACCAGTAAGACTTATGATCAATGGAATCTGCAGAGGTCTCTTCTTCTCCTATCAAAGCCAAAAAATAAGAACAAAACAAGGTTAAAAGCTATGATTTTGTCTCTTTATGGTCATTGTTATGAGAAAAAAAAAAAAATCTCTTTTGAGCAGCTAAACTTTAAACCTTAAACATCAAAGTTCTCTATCAAGAATAGTTCCAAGTGTCGTTTGCATTGACCCCTTAGCTAACATCACTTCATTGTTTACTTTCCATCTTTTAATATGTGATTTTGCACTCCCACAAAATAGAATCTTTATAGGTAATAATCATATATGCCTAACACCCGAAAGAAAGAACAAAAAGTGTATAAGCATCAACTAAATGCGTTCATATGCCCTGGTCCAGAACAGACAATATTCATGATGCCAACATCAAATACCACAGACAAGGCAAGTTAAAACCAAATACAAACCAGCATGTAATTAGAAAGAAAAAAAAAAAGACTGATAAATGTTTAAACTGAAAACCTAACTATTTTCATATAATCGTAAGCTAACCTTAAATGCATTATCTAGATGGGTCCAACAATAGATGACCACTAGGGTTGCAAGCGGGGGAATCCAATACTCGACATCGACAAAGGATGTCACCACTTATTGGGAACTTAGTCTGTCTATAGCGATAAATAAAAAGTTAGATGAGAAGACCATGTGTGAAATTATGGTTCCCAGCTCTTTTTCTATGTACTATATATGTCTACAGTTGCACTGGTCAATAAGGATCCTCCTTAATTACACAGAAGGACATCAATGTTATCGTGAAAAAAAAGGGTCCCCAAATTTGAATAATGATTTCGAATTAAAAAGTCAAATAATAAAGCGGAAGTACAATATATAGCTTGTACCAACTATTCATTGAATCAGAAGAAGCCAAAACCACATAAGGCCTATGCAATAGTAATAACAAATGTTTAGCTTTCTAATTCCAATCAAAAGCCCTTGCGTAAGCACATCACGTAATCAAGTACTTATTCCACCAGAGAAGCATACAAGGACACAGTGGTCCATCTCCCGACTTTTCTTCCCCTTTTTAAACACTTCAGATAACATTCATTCCAAACCCCAAACCCCAAACCCATCCCTCAACATTGCTAAGTCTCTTAACCAAAGTTCCACCACCATCTTCTCAAGACTACAACTTAAAAGATTTAACCAGAAATGGAGGGTCAGAGAAAACAACGGTGGGGTTACTTGAAAGAAAAGGCTACAGTGTCCAACCTTGATGACGAAGAAATGGAGATTGTCATGGATGGAGAAGAAGAAGACGGGGGAGACGAAGATAGACGGAAGAGAATTATGGAGAAAGTTAGAGGTCCTAGCACAGACCGTGTTCCATCGCGACTGTGCCAGGTGGATAGGTGCACTGCTAATTTGACTGAGGCCAAGCAGTATTACCGCAGACACAAAGTCTGTGAAGTTCATGCAAAGGCAACAGCTGCAACTGTTGCAGGTGTCAAGCAACGTTTTTGTCAACAATGCAGCAGGTAACATTTTTCCCTTCAATATTACTTCTTCCAGTTAATCAAGAAGAGGTTTGTTTTTCAATCCGATGGTTTTGGGGGGGGAATTGGGCAGGTTTCATGAGCTACCAGAATTTGATGAAACTAAAAGAAGTTGCCGGAGGCGCTTAGCTGGACACAATGAGAGGAGGAGGAAGAGTTCTGGAGATACTTTCGGAGAAGGCTCAGGCCGGAGAGCGTTTAGTGGTCAACTGATCCAGAATCAAGAAAGAAACAGGGTCGACATGAAATTTCAAATGACCAACTCATCATTCAAGCGATCACAGATCAGATAAACACAATAAACACACCGGCTCTCTCTCTTCTGTCATCTACATATGTGCTATCTATATTCTCTTGTTATTCAAATAAAGGCATCCAACCATGTAAGGAAAAGTGAGTCGTGGTATTGAATCCTACCTCAATATATAACTACAAACTTCCTGTACCCTTTCTGCTGTCATGTAAAAAAAACATATCCGCAAATGTGAAAGACCTTTGCACTTGCGTCTAATTATGTTTATTGATCTTGTATGTTTGAAGATAAGATTATGATGTGTTTTTAACTCATGAGAACTCGACTTGATCCTTGTTACGTGAAGTGCTAATTGAAAAGGGTTATAATACAGTTTCTAGTAAGGGGTGCGTGTCAGCCAAATGGGGCAGAAGACTAACCCGTAAACATAGGTTACTGAAATTTCACGACGACCACTGAGATATCATCTGAGCTTTTCCTTGCAACAGCCTCCTCTGAGAGATGCTTAGCTGCAGACTTTGCATCTTTTATTCCCTTAATCGAGTCAACAGCCTCTTGGTTCGACATCACCTATTAAGAATTTGAATAATCAGCGACCATACGAGTTAGTTGTTTTGAGAGTAGATTATGATAGGACAAAACCTTCCAAAGTCCATCACTTGCTAGGATCAGAAAGTCTGCATCATCGCCAATTATCTCCACCGTAACATATGGTTCCGAACTCAAATGCATCTTTATACTCTTATCACCAAATGCTCTTGCCACAGCCAGTTGACCATCAACTCGAGGAACGTCCCCTGAATTGGTTCAATAAAAACAAAATTCAATCATATGCATCAACGAGACCGGAATATATTTGTATAGATGTACTTGAATTAAATACCAGGAAAGTTTGAAACGAATCCGCCTCTGTTCTCTATTTCATCTTTCTCCATGTTTGGCTCGTGATCAACAGAGAGTTGCTTCGCAACACCATCTTTGCAAATAACAGCTCTCGAGTCTCCAACATTAGCAACCACCAACTTCTGGCAATTAATTAATATCGCAGTCACAGCAGTCGAGCCTCCTTTCCCCAAATCAGACGCCTTATCCAGAATCTTCGAATCCGTTATATAGTAAGCTTTCTTTATCGCTATCTCAGGCTCTTGCCAGAAATTCGGCTACATCAATTAAAAAGAGAAGAACATCAGTTCATATACTCAAGTTAAAGAAAAGCGACTTTCAGGAAGTTTAGAGAAACTCCATTACCTCTTTCAAGATGTTCTCAAACAAATGGGAGCACAAGTAGTCGGGAATCTCGTGGCTAAGATGGCCATCGAAGATAGCAAACAGGCCAAGCTCATTGTCATCAACTTCCTTGAATTTGGCAACCACATAATCCTCCATCTCGTGAAAAGCTTTCCCTTTCACCAAGTGAAAACCATGTGTGATCTGCTTCGACATCTTGCTCTTACCTTTCCCTGAATCTGCAGAAGCGGACGCAACAAGCCCAACTTTCTCCTGCATCGAAGACAAAAACAGAGACAAAAGTTCTAATTTGAACAGAAACTTTTTACCGTTATCACTAGATTTGATCACTGACAGTGTGGAAACTCTAGCACCTAGTACTGTATCGAGAATTCGAGATCAAAACCTAAATCAACGTTAAAGAGCCACAATCGACCAAAATCAATTTGACGTAACTCAGATTCCAGCAAGCATATCTAGATCTAACGGAAAGCTTCACATGGATTTTCGCTACATTCTACCAAATCCAGTTTCGAACTGATCCACGAAGAATGTTTTAGATTAAACAAAAAAAAAAACTACCTCAAATTAACTGGCCGTATTCTACGAAAATCGAATCAAATAGCATGGAGAGATCAAAGAAACGATACCTTGACGGATTCCTTCATCTTGTGGAGAATTTCCTTGCCGGTCATGGCTCGAAGATGAAAAGAGGATTATATATATGTGTGGATATGAAATATTAATAAAGAAACAGGCGAAAATGCAAATGAAAATATCTTCTTCCGCGAGCGTAAGAGAGAAGGAGTGAGAGAGGAGGGGAAGATGACACGAACGCCACTGTTTCATGTCAGCTTCCACCGCCGCTTTGTTTGCGGCAATGGCTGACGTCTTCGCGCCACCTATGACGACTTTTCCATTCTTTTTTTAACCTGTGATTATTACAAACGGGCCAAATATCTTGCCCAATAAAGCCCAAAACTTAATGGGCTTACTTTCAAAATCATATCATCGGAGTAAAAAAGGCCGAATGAATTAAAATAACCACTAGCTAATAAAGACATAAAATATAATTAGCACTGAGATTAATGATGATAGGTGTTCCTTAGGGTATGGGTCCTAATCCCATGGTGTGTCTTAAAGCGTAAATAAAGCGACTAAAAAACTGGTCAATGGGAAACAAAAGCCATAGACCTCTTTGTCTTTATATTTTGTGGAAATATATATTTTCTTATTAGTATTGGATATTAAATAATGTTAAAATTAATTGTTTTTAGATTACCAACAGTGCATCGATCATTTCTCCTTGTGTTAACTGTCTGATAATAAGCTCGCTTTTGCTTTAAACCAAAGCGTATCTTTGGGAGACTTGTGTCCCCTGCGTAAAGCATGTGAGCTACATATAGCAGAGCGACTTAAAATAATTGTACGACCTAAAACTAATTTATCTACAATGTCGGTAGACAAGTTCAAGATTTCAATAAGATAAAAGTGAACACCACAAAGATTAATTATCGTGATTAATTAATACTTTAAATATAGCATCCTTAATTTTAATTTATCCGTGATTCGGTCGACAGACTTAGACAAGATCATTACAAACAGCATCACTTCACTTTGCTCCCTTCTTCATATGATTCCCACCACTTCCGTACCCATTTAGCCACGTGTCCTCCCAACTATTTAAACAAGTATACGGCACGACCACATAATTAGAGACACCAAGAAATGGAGAGTCACGGGAAAACCACAAACTCCGACGAGCAGCCGCCGGAGTTCGAGTTCGGATCGTTGACTCCTTCTTCTCCATCACAAGACTCGTTCACGGAGAATTCTCCCGCCGATCACCTCTTCTTCAACGGCCGTCTCTTGCCACACGCTTTCCCGGCGGCGAACAATACTTTAAAGCGGTCAGTCTCGCGTACTACAAGCGAATTCACCTCCCGGAGCAATAGTACGAACAGCCGGAGTAGTTTTGGTAGTAGTAATAGCAGCTCAACTTCTTACTCTCCGAGAACCAGCAGTTGTAACGGTAACAACAGTCTCATTAACCACAAGCCGGTCGATTTGAAACCTCCGACTAGAAGAAGTGGCGAAAACGTAAATACGGCGAGGAGGAAAGCGACGGAGGAGGTGAGAGCGTCTCTATACAGGTCGTATTCATCACAGCGGTGGCAATACATAACTCCGGCGCCGGTGAAAATGAACGGAGGGATAAGGGTCGGTGGCCGGAAGAAGAAGACGGCGATGATGAGGAAGAAGGCCGAGGAGAGAAGAGGGAGCAGGGTGATGAAGTGGTGGAGAAGAATTTTGATGGCGGCGATTTTTGCTTGTAGAAAGTGTCATGCATTGGAGGGAGCTTGAGAAAGACTTGTGGTATTATGACGTGATTATGAAAAGATAAAAAAAAAGAATATTGTTTGTTCATAATTGGGCTTGTTAATTGGTTTTTGACGATTGTGTATCTAAATATTTTGGTTTAATTAAAGAGCAACACTTAAAACAAAACTACTTATATATCTCTATTGACTATTGTGAGGTCTTTGTAACTTATATGATATATAGAATTATATATATGATTTCGTGTGTAAAAATTAAACTACACAGGTGATAGTTGCTTATGGGAAAATATAGTTATAAGATAATTTTCAACAACAAAAAAAAAAACACTAATTGTTTGAATGTAAAAAAAAAAGTCGTTGGTTGTATATATTGTTTTAGTATATTTTCAAAAACCAAACACTTTTTCAACAACCAAAAAAGGTCAAGAAAAGCTTTCAAGAAAAAAAGAAAGTAGATTGTTGATAGAAATAAATATAAATAAAAGAGTAGATTGATTGAAAATAGGAGAGAGTAGATTAACTATGTGTCTATGTTCAACACAAGTGATGATAAAACGATCGAAACAACAAACAAAAAGACATGTAAAAAAAGCAAATTAAGTTCCTTACGAGAGTCATACACGAATTTCATCACTCCAAGAAACTCATGTTTCGGTGGTGACTATCAAGGCTCAAGAACTCACTTGGATTCGCTTGACTCTCAGAGTTGCTCTGTTGCTGGCTCTGGTTCTGGTGGCTCTGATGCTCTGGTTTGTCACCTAAAACCTCTGAATCAAACAGAAGCTTAGCATTGACATTGTTAGTCAACGCGTTAAAGAAAGATAGCCCGGTGGGCCATTTCACGTCGGAGTCTTGTTCTTTGTGTGAATGCGGCATTACGGGGAAAGGCACGTGAGGCTGGTAGGTAGGCAAAGAGGATTGAGGCATCATCGGTCGTTGGCTCGTACCACTCCAGCTGTAGAGAGGAAGAGAGGGTTGCAATGGTTGAGTCTGTGGAGGAAGTATAGGGTGGTTCGAGCCCATGAGGGATGTGTTTGAAGACGAAGTGGTTCGGTTTGAGGAGAACAGCTGAGAGAGGTAAAAGCCAGATTGGTAGCCGAGTGATTCAAACGTGTGCCTCATCCGAAGTACAAAGTGCAGATCTTCAGGTATCTAGAGTAAAACCGGCCGGTTTAGAGAACATAACCGATAATCCTAAGTAAGAAATTTAATTTAATATACTCACAATCTTGCAAGAACCGAGTTGTAAAAGGCCATGTCCAGCTTGAATAACAGCTATGGTCTGTATATGCAATCAAAAATAACACTTAGGTAACTTGAGAACCAAGTAACTCAAGAACATTTCTGTGTAATTAATGTTCTTTATCTTACCTGAATTCCAGATTCGAACTGATCATTCCACTCTGAAGGAATCTACATTTTGCATGTGGAGAGAGATAGATCTCGGTCGGGTTACAAATTTGTAGTAAAAGTCTTAATTAAACGTAAATGTTAATGGATATTATAAGGAAAACTCACAGCATCGAAAGAGCTTTGCCAGTAACTAGAGGCATTAGATTCAGCTTCAGTTTGTTCCTTGAAAACCCATTTATGGCATTTATCAGAAGCAACCTTCCCCATTAACCTGTTAGCCACAAATATGATGCAAAACCAAAGGGAAAAAAAGGAGAAGATAACTAGTATCTATAATTATGGTATATTTGCAGTGATAAGTTCAGAGTTATGTACATTCTTTTTATTTTGGTCGAAGAGTTATGTACATTCATACAGCCAAAAATGATGATAAAAAAAAAAGTAATTATGAACCTACCAAGTACCCACCCTTCGCCATAATTATATAACTGAATTGACATTTTGCTGAAAGATTTACGAACAGGATCTTCTCCTTCCATGTCTCCATAGCAATCTCCTGATCCTCCTCTTCCTCTGCAGTATCCATCTTCCCACATCAACATCCTGCAGCACCACACATTGATATGTCAATACATAGCATATACTGTATGTTTATATATATACATATACTGATCATATATTCATTAAATTTCGTATAGCTTAATAAATAAAAAAACTATACATGGTTATTAGACACAAACGCCCTCGTTATATATATAGGCCTATATCTAATGCCTTTTTTGCAGCAGATAATAACTCCAATTCTTCAATTAGCCATACCATAAACTAAAAAAATAAGTTAAAACAAAAAATATATATATAAGAAAGGTAGATACAGTCGCATATATACGTTATCATGTCTAAACTAACTCTTCATGCAGCAATGTTTGTTGTTATTTTGGATTTTTTTACTCAAGCCTAGTTTTTGAATCTAATATATAAGGGGTTCTCCTCCAGCTTCGCTGAATAGTCGATCCAGTTTCTTGTTTATTGTCAGAAAAAAGGTTTCCAGTGACTAAATATAATAAATCACAAGGGGGAAATGCTGACTTTATTAATCATTGTTCAAAAAGAGACTAAAGTATGGTAAGCAAAGTCTTGACCATTGACTAATGTGAATAAAATTGTAAAAGTGTAACTTACAAGCTTCCATTGTCGTCGCCGACCTTGCAGCCGTTGCCACCGCCTCGAACTCTCCTGAAGAGCAAAAAACGTCATCGCTTTGAGAAAGAGAGAGAGAGAAAAAAAGGGAGGGAGAGAGAGAGAGAGAGAGAGAGAGAGAGAGAGAGAGATACGTACGGACGGGGACGGATGGACCAGAAGACAGAGTAAGTCCAGTCGGTGTTGAGACAAACGGTTCTTAGGGCCTCGTGGAGAGCGACCATCCCCAAAGCTTCTTTGCTCCTTTGTTGTTGCTGCTGATGGTTTTGATGATGTTGTTGTTGTTGATGATGATGATGATGATGTTCCGAGCCCACCATCTAGCTATATAAATACGTTTGAAGTGTACTAGATGTGTGTGTATGTTATATTTCTTCTCTCCCTTTGGCCTTTTTGTTCTTCTTTCCTGCTTTGCTCAAGCTTTAGGCCATGACTCTTTTATGTTCTAAATCTTAATTTTTGTTTTAAAATGTTCCCTTTTTTTTTAGTTTAGGCTAAATCTGATTGCCAAACCAACATGTACTGTTTGTCGACATATTAATGTCTTATTTTAGATATTTTTTTTTGTCTTTATTTTAGTTCTGATTACTTTGTTGGTAAAATCTTATTACAACCCTGTGGAACACAGGATGCGAATTTCTTGGGGGTTGGTATGTAGTTAACAATGAATAAATTATATAATTAATTTTTAACAAAAAAAAATTAGGGGTTAATTAAAGTTTTTTTTTTTTGCATGAAAAAAGGTTTTCTCTATTGAGGCCACGAAGTCAAAGATATACGTGAAAATTTTCACGATCAAATCCTTTTAAGTCGCTTTATGTTTCTTTTAATGGAATCCAATAGATCAACCGCTGATTATAATAATAAAGATTAAGAGAATAATCATATGGTTTGGAGTGGATAAACTGTTGTTGTTATGATTAAAGTTGCAATCAGACTATAATTAATCAGTCGAGAAACAATTTTCCCCACTAGAACTGTTAAATGTAAATGTTGTTTTCTTCAAAAACAGGCTTTTTGATTTGGATATCGTCAAACTTGGGAATTGGTTATGGACCAAGATTCATATTACTTGTGTGTGACACGCACGCAGATTAAGGGCACGACAAAGAGAATATATAGGAAGAAGAGATTTAGGAGTCACGTGCGCACGTGCTCGTGTGTAAGACTCGAGTGGCTTTGGTCATCAACACAGCGTCTGGTTTTGACATCAAGCGCGTGTAAAGTACTCATATAGACACTGAACACATAAGGGAAGAAGAAACCAAATGCGCGTGAAGCATACATCAAAACTGTATCGCGTGAGATTGAACTGTGATTGATTGAAACTTGGAAGGAAAAAAAAAAGGAAACTCGTAACAGAGAGTTGGGTCTGGTTGCATCAGTCTGAAACTTTCTGACGGGTCTTTGCTCCGCATTGACCGGCTCTGTTCTTTACTCACATAATGTTAATTTATTTTTTGAATTTATGGTACTAACTTTACTGAATCTGTCAAATGATAGCGCGAGGTATTAAGGTGCGGTGATTTTAAAAACAAAGTTGAACGGATTATTTTTCTTGTGACTAAAATGCTAAGTTTTTTAAAATGTCAGTGAAAGAATAAAAAATAGTAGTATGTTATAATGAAAGTAATTGTTGGGCATCCGAATCTTGTTTTCCATCAGCTTGATCTCCGGAGAAGTTATCCTCTTCCACGGGCTATGTATTCTTCTAATGAATGAAAATTTTAGATTTCAAAAAAAAAAGAAAAGAATATTTGATGCAAAGGAATATGATAGGACAATGCTACGGTTGGCTGGTGGTGACACAGACTCTGATTTACGGGTCGTTAAATGGGCTTTATAATTCACTGGACTTTTAAAGCTTTTAATTTGGGCCGGGTTGTTATTCTTGACTGGATCATGAGCTGGGTCGGTTCTTTACGAATAAGTTTTCCATTATTATTATTTTTTTTTTAAGTTGGAAGGAAAATTAAAACGAGAGAAATGATTGAAAAATCAAATCGAGGAACCTTCTTCATCTGCCAACAGTTTCTCTCGATCTCTTGGTGCTCGAAAAAGAGCTTTCTCGGGAATGCTACAGGAAACGAAAGGGAAGACGAACAAAGCGATCTCTAGTATTCGTCCGTCGTATTTGTCGAATTATCAGGTAATTTGGAACGATCCTGAACCTTTTAAGAGAATTTGATACTGTCGTCTCTTGTCTGAGGAAAATTTATGTAGTCTGATTAATAGAACTGGAGAAAGATCAGTGACGATGTCTCAATTTGCGTGTATGTTGCTACCCACTATCCTAGAGTGACGAATATATTGCCTTGTTGCAATAAAATTTTCTTGGTCAGCTGTCACTCTTCTTCGAATCCACCTAACGGCCGGATTTTTGCGGTTTTTATAGGCCACCGATAAATATAACAATTTTTCCTTCTCTTATTCGTTTGCTTTGAGTAAAAGAGATCTCCGCATTGCGATTATAGTCGAATTTAATTCAGTTTTACCAGATTTGAGTTTGCGTTTTGCTTTCTTCTGGGAACTTGGAGAAGTTGGGAACTTGGAGAACTTGGAGAAGTTGGAGAAGTTGGGAACTTGGAGAAGTTGGAAACTAGTTGCAGAGTTTAGCTGAAAAGTTTTACATTTCGTTCTGATTACTGGCCATTCGTTTTCTCAAAATAGTGTTCGCAGTGAGTGAGAGGTTGTTTTCCCGTGTATGTGGAGATGGAAGATGTTGCTGGTTTACAAGAGGCAGCTGGATCCAGATTTAGCCACATTGATTTAATCGGAAGAGGATCTTTTGGTGATGTCTATAAAGCGTAAGTGTCTATTACACTCTCAAAGTCTCAATCTAGAGACTTGCTGTTATTTTGCACCGTAATATTTATTGCTGATGTTTCTTGCCTGAAAGAATTATACTTGGGTGCCTATATTGATATCAGTTGGAAAAAATTAGAAGAAACTGATTGGAATTTATATTAGTTTATACGATAAAGACTGTCTAATAACGATTGAGGCTATCTTATTATGCTGACCTGGTGCTGCTGCTTATCAGGTTTGATAAAGACCTCAACAAATACGTTGCCATCAAAGTTATCGACTTGGAAGAATCGTGAGTACATTTTATACTTAAGTTATTTCTCTTCGTATTTCTGTGCACTTCTCCTCTTAAGCTTTTGGGTAACATACTATTTCCTCTCCAGTAAGTTGAGTAATTACATTTTATCATTTACTTGTTCTCATTCTCAAAGGGTAAAAGGACAGTTATCTTTCTTTGGCTTTGAATAGACTAACAGATTCAGTTGTTAGCTGCAATATGTTTGCCTGATAATACCATTATGCTCAGTGATCTTTCCTTCCTAACCTTCTTACTTGATATTTGGCAGAGAGGATGAGATCGAAGATATTCAGAAGGTATCTCTTGATTGACATCAGTTTCTGTGGTTGACATTTGTGTACAAAAGATCGTCATGTTCATCTTCTGTTGCTGACCCCAGGAAATTTCAGTATTGTCACAATGTCGTTGCCCATATATCACCGAGTACTATGGTTCTTACCTTCATCAGACAAAACTGTGGATCATCATGGAATATATGGCCGGTGGCTCTGTTGCTGATCTTGTATGTCAACTCACTTCTTCACAAAATTGTAGCCAGAACATTAGGAACTATGAAATATAATTATGTGGTGCTACACGCACTGTGCTTATTTTCTCTTGATGCAACTTGTAATCCTTAAAGGCAATATATCTTCTGCAGCTTCAGTCTGGTCATCCGTTGGATGAAACATCAATCGCTTGTATCACACGTGATCTGCTTCATGCTGTTGAATATCTGCATAATGAGGGAAAAATCCACAGAGACATCAAAGGTTTTGTCTGCGCTATATATTACGGTTTTTATGTGATCAAATGTGTTTTTAGCTGCTTGGTACATGAAAATTGCGTTTTTCCTAATTTTGCAGCTGCCAATATATTATTGACAGAGAATGGCGATGTTAAGGTGTTATTTTAAATAGAAAAACTTTACCTATGACAGTAAAATCTTGAACATCTTCTATATCGAGAAATAGTTGCAAGAGCTCGGTCATCAACTTGTTTTTCACTCTGTTTTAGGTGGCAGACTTCGGTGTGTCTGCACAATAAACTCGGACAATATCAAGAAGGAGGTGCTTACTCTATTATACATAATCACTGTTGATCTGCTTATTGTTATTTGCAATGTATCTTTTATATCCCCATAGTATAAGAAGGCTGGTAATGAAGTTTCTGGTCTCCTTGTTTATGTTGCTGCTTGCATTGTGCGGTCTATTAATTTTAACTGAGTTAACTTTTCCAGTCACTAGGATTCTCGTGAATTATTTATCCAGTCTATCTGCAACTTCAGTTCTAATTTCTTATGTAAAGCCTCATATAGTAGAAGCCTGTGCACGTTTAAATTGTGGGAAACATTATAATGTAGAAGCAATGTTCTGAAAGATTGACAATGAATAAATGCATCTCTGATAAATTTGGACAACATCTTATCTCTAATTCTCGGTGATTATTTAGAGTTTTCGCTCTATCATCTGGGTTGCATGCGCTGATATGTTAAAGAACGACAGACTTTTGTAGGAACACCATTTTGGATGGCACCAGAAGTGATTCAGAACTCAGAAGGATATAATGAGAAGGTATTTCGCCTGTATCCCAAGCTTCACTTCTCCTAGCTTGACATGTCTTATGTATCTGTAGATGCTATACTTGTTTTAGAGCATATCTAATATTTGTTGCATTCTATTTCTGTTGCTGGGATTGTTGTCACTTTAGGCAGATATTTGGTCGCTCGGAATTACAGTTATCGAGATGGCAAAAGGAGAACCTCCACTAGCTGACCTTCATCCTATGAGAGTGCTTTTTATCATTCCTCGGGAAAATCCTCCTCAGGTTTCACAAGTTTCATTTTAAATATGATATAGTAATCAGCATGATCGGAGTGCTTTGCCAGGAAACTGATCACTGCCATTTCTTGATTGTGAACTCGCATATAATGTTTAACATTTTTTTTTTTTCCTACGCAGTTAGATGAGCATTTTTCCCGTCCGGTGAAGGAGTTTGTTTCATTATGCTTGAAAAAGGTCCCTGCTGAGGTACTTGCAATGCAATCCTTGTAATCTTTGCTTTTTTTTTTCTTGGCAGCAGTGGCATTTCAAGATCTCTTATACAAGTCTTTTATACTTTCAGAGACCCAGTGCCAAAGAACTTCTTAAACACAGATTTATTAAGAATGCCAGGAGAAGTCCGAAACTTCTTGAGAGGATAAGGTTTGATGCTTTTTTCTCTTAAACAACCCTGGCTTGTGGTCCAATTTGTGACTTTCCTTGTTTGATTGTATGTCAAAAAGTAACGTTTAGATGGTTTTTCCCTTATGTTTTTTTATCTTTTATATGTCAAAAGAAAATCCAGAATAAGCACAATTATTATTCTGTCCTTTTTTCCTCTTTAAAGAGAGCGGCCAAAGTACCAAGCAAAAGAGGATGAAGAGACTTCTAGGAATGGTCCCGAGGCTCCAGTATCATCTGGTACTGTTAGAGCGGCTAGAGATGATAGAAGCCAAGTAACTCCTGAATCCAGGTTGGGTGACTTTTCTGCGCTTGGGGATTCTTCTCTTTCTTGTTATATAAAATATCTATTAATTCGTAGCTACAGTTTTCAGGGAAAAACTGTCAAAAATGCTGGATGGGATTTTAGCATTGGGGGGTCTCAGGGTGTTGGAACAGTTCGTGCTTTAAAGTCTCCTCAAGCGAGGGAGAGGAGCCAAGAAGTTCCTTCTAATCAGACTTCTCAAAGAACAACAAGAGCTAGTGGTAATCAATTGACATCCAATTCTGGTAGTACCGAAGCCTCTGAAGGGGGTTTTGGTAAAAGACATCATTATCAGAATGACCATGAAGATGGCTTCCACGAAGAGGTAACATCCTTTGTCTCTTGTTTAACAGATGCAGGGTGTCTCCTTTCGCACCGTTTCTTTGCTGTAACCATTGCACCTAGAAATAATCTTCTAGCATGGGGAACTTAGTTATTTTTCACGTGGAGGACTACGATACCTTTTAGATCTGTGTACCTTAACATAGTAATGTCTTTTTATTGATAGAATGGCAACTAGGTAAAATAAATTTATTCTTTGTCCTCCTACTTAAATTCAGGAAGATTCATCGCTCAGTGGATCAGGAACTGTTGTCATAAGAACCCCAAGAAGTTCCCAATCATCTTCAATATTCCGTGAACAAAGCTCCGCGGTATAGAATCTCATGCAGCCTTTGGTACATCTTCTACAGAAACTCTGCTTTTTCCCACAACTCGTGTGAATGATTACAGTTCTGCTATGCAGTCTAGCGGCAGGTATGCATCGTATGATGATGCTTCAACAAGTGGAACTGTTGTTGTCCGTGGACGACACGATGACTCTGGATCACCTCGAACCCCAAAATCTAGATTAGGGATTCAAGAGAGAACTTCGAGTGCCTCGGAAGATAGCATCGCAAATCTCGCCGAGGTTTTCGAACATCTTTTGTGTTATTATCGTTTCTGTAGATATATTCTGGTCATCTTGATTTATTATCGCATTCTTACAATTAACATCCATTCTTCTTTCAGGCAAAGGCAGCACTTGACGCAGGTTTCAGAAGGGGAAATGCTAGAGAAAGACTTGGAATGGGGAAGAACAGTAATGATGGGAAAGTTAACCGAAGAAGGGGACAGATGACAGAAGATTCTGATTATTCAAGGTGCATTTAGATTGTAGCTTATGCTGGCACAGCATCTCGCGTAGTTATTCCTAACATGAAGCTATGACCTATGCAGGAATTCCGGCGATGAGTCTCGTAAAGAAAAAGCACTTCCAAGATCACAACAAGCGAGTGATGAAGAAGATGACTCCATATGGGATTCATTGCCTGCATCGTTGTCAGTATTGCTTATACCGTCCCTGAAAGAGGTATGCATATATTAGAAGAAAAAAAATATGAGCGCTTTGAATATTTTTAAAAAATAAAACAAAAAGATCATGTATTCTGGTTTGTGGTATAGACTCTTGGTGACTATTCAAAAGGATCTATAGGACATACAGTGTTGAGATCCCTCGTGGCGATGGAACGTGAAAACCCTGGTTCTTGTGAAGCTTTTGTTGCCAAACTGATTGAACTTTTGGGAAGGTACATGAAACACATGTTTGGTCATCTGATTGTTGATTATTACTTGATCTGATGAATCCCCTAAATTTATAACAGTTTAAAAGAAGCTTCGGTGAAGGAAGTGCAGGACATGGCGGTCCGTGTTTTCTCCAAGACTGCACCCGCCGCAGCGGAGAACAAAAGAAAACAAGCGAACAATGACTTAAATTCCAACACAAATATTACCCCACTCGGCAGATTCTTACTCTCAAGGTTTGTTCGATTGATTGTTCGATTGATAGTAATGATGATGATACATGAACAATTTTTCTTGAATTTCAAACCTGAAATTTTACAAAACCTCAATGTCTTGATTGAAGGATTTGATTTAAAATGGGATTCTTTTTGTCTGTCCCTGCAGATGGCTAAGCCAATCATCGCGTGATCTTTAATCTCCCACCCGGAGACAGAAGTACAGGGATAGAATCATTGATTTTTGGTATTTATGTGCATAATCTGTTTTTTAAAAAATGTATTTATAAAATTCGTTTATTTTATTCTATTTATATGTTCTCGCAATTTGCTCATTATTCATAGTTGTGTATAATCAAGGGTTTGGCTTTGTTATTGTTACCAAAATGTAATATGTATCTCCAAAACAATTTCATTTTATTCTTTTATATGAATTGTTTTCTTGTCAAGTGGATAAGTTATCGTTACATAAAACAAACAATAAGAAAAAAACATTTTCACTATAAAACTATATGTAACAGTTATCATAGATTCATAGTATCCACTCTTATTTAAACCCAAGAGAACAAGCCCCCAAGTATTTTAGAAATGAGAAGATTCCAAGTCTCAATCACGCAACTCAAGGATCCGTGCAACAAGATAGCTACAACCAAATATAAACACAACAAACAATTTTCAATTTTCAAGGAGTTAAAAAAAAACAAAACAAAAAGCTATATAAACCCATTACGCATGCAAATATATATACACACACTGACGCACACATACATAAGAGAAATATAGAAAGAGATTAAAACTTTTACCTAAGTAGGCTGCAAAGAGACAATAACAAAGGCAATGACAGTCAGAAGAATAGTCATTCCTACTAAACAAACATTATTCCATCACATATGATCAATACATGTCTTGTGTCCACAAGAAGTATAATAAAGCATTGTTTATCACCACAACTTGGAGATAAAGAAGAGCAAACGACGAACAAAGGGGTAATCTTGATCAAGTCGACCTTTTTATCACCAAATGTTAGAGATAATCTGTAACCGGAAAACTCGCAAAGAACGACCAAAAATGGTATTGGCTGCTTATACGGAGATTAAGAAATAGAAACCGAAGAAAGAAATGCAGATTTCCGATAAAGTGGCTGACGATTTCCTGAACTCTTTCAATCGCTTTCGATTGTCATGCCGAGAACTAGTAAAGCTCTGTTCTGATGCGGAAAACGGTGTTTGGTCTTTGTTAAGATCATCCGTTGTTAGCTTTGATTTTTAGGAGGGACAAGAAAACCATTTGTGACTAGGCTAACAACAAATTCCGAATTTCAAAGTTTATGGACTATAGTGAGAAACTGAGAATGTTAATATATCTATAATTGCCCATTTGCCCATATTATACAGTGGGTGTCTTTCATTTAACTTTGTTTGGCTTTTATTTCAGCCCTTTGGGCAGAATGTACCAAAACAACCGATCTATTAAAGAGCAAGAGACCTGAATCTCCATAGATAAAATTAAATAATTCTAAGATATTTTCTGAATTCCGTCCCGAACTTAGATAAGGCTGTCACCTTTTTTGGTGCTAGATTATATATATAGAGCAAATTAAAGCAAGTGTGAATGGCGGCGATAATAATCTTAAAAGGCTAATTAGTTTTTTGTTTTTGTTATTATAAAAAGGAGTTGAGGTCTCCTCTAAGTTTCATGGGAAAGAACGACAGTTCAGCTGACCTGACACATCACCCAACACTCATACATGCCGCAGCTAACGGCGATTTAACAGTAACGGAAACCTTTCTCCGAAAATAAAAACAATCTATTATTAATAATTTTGTTAAATAAGTGAATCACACAAATGAGGGTGGAAAATGCGTTTTTGAAGAAAACTAAAAATATGGTCACACTAACAGGCAGTGATTTTCGAAATTATTCAGACGATGATAATGAGTTGCTGTTTTTGTCCCTTTTTGCTAAATGAAAAAAAAATAAAGTTAGGAATATTTACTAAGGAGACACGAATGTGTGTTAGAGTGTGTGTATATATAAATAAATACGTAAATGGAATAAGTGGTCCTTGTTTGGTTGCAGAGTTCCAATAAGGTGTTTTGTAATAACCAGAACACTAACACGTGGCTCACGCGCCGCGCCAACATAGCACTTGGACACTGTCGGACTCATCTCACGCGCCCCCGCGCACGTGGGAATGATATCAGCGCCACTCAGCCGACGCAACCATTTTCTATAGTGACTGTCTGTCACGTTACGACATTTCATAACGCCACCTGTCCCCATAATCGGTAGCATGTGTCCAGGTGAAACCCACTATCGTGGCAGTTTCACATTGGTTTTTTTTTTGCTTAAAAATCAAAATTTACTCAACTGTATTATATTTTTCATTCTTATTCATCTGAATCCCTACTTGTTCAAGAAGGTTATTTTTTTTGTAGTGCAAAATCTCTGAAGCTTTCTCGGATGGTTTGGATAGATGAAATTTATTGTAAGAACATCTAACTGAAAATTTTACCCTGGTTTGAAATTCATACACCGAAAAAATGTTGGAGTTAAGAAACGAGAAAAAGAAAATTACCGAAGATAAAATATCTTCTTCTCACATTCTAAACTGCTGGTAATTGCTGTTACTTTTGAAACTAATTTTAGAAACTGTACTTGTTGGATCTGTAGTTAATTTCCTGGCGAGGTTTAATAATTTAACTGCAGAGTTAGTTGTTAAGATTAATAAATGATGGGTCTGTAGTCGTAAAAGGTCCAAATAAATGGGGGTGAATAAGCAATAAAGAGAAAGTATATGTGGTATGTGTAAATGGCCGACTTGGGATCGGGTGAGAAGAAAAGGGAGGGAAAAAATCTGGTTGGTTGGGATTGAGATTCTGGATGACCTTAATTTGAAGCGTGTGGGTCCTACCCCGAGGAAAAGCGGCCGCCGCAGCTAATCTTGTTTCACACGTGTCTCTCACTATTTAATGAACTTTTCCAACTCTAATCCGATATATCAATAATTTTTATTTTATATTAGAGGAATTTAAAAAAAAAAAAAATTATGATGTGATCATGATAGCCGGTATCTTCAACTAACCAGTATTTGTTAATTCTATGTAAATTAATTGCAAAAATATCGCTCAATACGTAGTTACGTACATCCATGCGTATACAACTGGTGTGCGTTTTTCATTTTAACCAAGCATGGGATTTTTTTTTATAAAAATTCTGAAAAAGCAAATATTATTATGTAGTTTCTGATATGGAAAAATTGAGGAAGTGGGGTTGTGAGGGGAAACAAGATGATGAGAGGAGGGGCCAAAATGGAAATACCTCAATTTACGGAGTCTTTCACGTAAACAAATGGATGGGTGTAAATAAAATTAAAAACAATATGGAACAAACAAAAAAAGAAAGACAGTGAGCATCAAACTTTATCGGACGGTGGAGATGCACGTGAAGGCAACCAAGAATCCCGACATAAACCTCGTCAACACGGAATTTACATCCCATGCCACTTTCACACGCGCCAGATGCTCTACCAGACGCTTCTACTCCTCCATTATACCATTCCGATATTCACTTAATAACATTTCAAACCGGTACTTATATAACTATAGATAGCAGCCTCGCAGTTCTTCGTTATTGACAATAAAAAATTATACCCACGATTTTTTTTTTGGTCTTAAACATATCAACTTTATGTTGGAAAAAATAGCTGAAAACTGTTTTAAAGATTAAATCACGTATTTGTGGACGTATGTAATTGTTTCTTAACCCAAAAAAGCTTATTAATAGTTTTAAACTAAGTTATAAATGTCTTTTTATGCTTGCTATTAATACTTTTGAGAAGACAATGACTTAGAAATAATACAAAGTGGAGTATACTATATAATTTCGTAAAAAAAAGAGAGAGGAAATGTGGGCGCCACCGTCTGTGATTCGGTCTCTTGTGAAAAGGATTACTCGCGCTGCTTGGACGTCGGTGCCGCCTCGCACTTTTATATTTTGTAATTAGATAATAAGAAGTAATGAGATCCATCCACGTGGATATAAGATAGAATCTAACCGTTGAATCTACACGAGAATCACGAAGTGGATAGTTCTTTGGCCTTTTTGATTGCGGAGTTGGAGACAAGAATCCAATCAAACCTCTCCTCTCTGCCTCTCATTATGAAGCCGCTTTCTCTCATACGTCGTCGTTTTTGTTTTAAACTGTCATTTATTACTCCTACCCCTTGAGATCATTATTGCATCTATTTACATCTTACCATCATAACACATTTTTTCCAACATATTCACCGCAACATTATACTCACAAAAATAAAGAACAAGTAATGTCACAACATCAATACAAAAAAATCAATTCCTTTAAACCCGCAATCTTGAATAATAATAATAGGCGAAAGTAAATATTTATAATATTTACAGGATTAGGTTTACAGGTAGAAAAATGTTGTGTTAGTCCAATTAAACTCGGAATCGAGCCAATATCATAATTTTAAATATATATGATTTATGTTTCTGATATAGTGAGATAGTATCAAAAAGAATATCTCACTATTTACGTTTAACGTTGATAGGAAAAAAAAGTTATAAAAGTAAAAAAACGGTAGCTAGAATTGTTTCTTAAAAGAATTAGTTTCAATTAGAGATCTTATTTTTAATTGGGAAATTATAATTACTCCTATCTTTTTTTTTGATCATATCTTTTGCTCTGGCATTAGTACCCTAATATTTCCTTTTAAATAAGAGAATCTAACGAATTAAAATCTAGGTTCTCTCTGTCAGAACCTAAGAGTGTTTTAATATTTTCATCCTTCAAAACTCAGTTTCAAAGTTCAACAGAAGGAGAAGAAAAGGAGTATGTCCGTACTCTTAATGTGGACCCTACTTGGTGACATAAGCACGAAGAATTTCTAACATGCGCCGCAGAAAAAACGGAGGGCCCACACACGCCGGCTTCGTGTCTGCTGGAAACTTGGACTATTGTTTAAAGCCGACGATACTCAAAACTACGATTGTTTTTCTTTCTTTAATCTTTCTTTTAATTAGTTTTTCTTATACTTCAACTAGAGCTTATTTTGCAATTTTTATCAAACCACTGCCAAAAGATTAACCAAGTCATTTTAGGCCTTCAATTTATATATTGCTCACGACAGAAAAGGAAGGCCAATATTAAATGTCGCCGGATTAGCACCCCAAGTAGTAATATAATTAAAATTAGGAAATGAGATGAACCAGCATTATTTTGAAGATTGCCAAATTATATTAACTGAAAATTAGGAAGAACAAAAAAAAACTCAAAACGAGGAACAACATGGTGAAACCAAGTCGCAAAAAAAAAGGCACACAACAAAAGTTCAGATCTCCGGTTATGTAATAATATGTACATAACGATCCATATGTCAGCTAAACTTATATTTCTCTCTCTCTCTCGATTTAATTGTTTTTTTTTTTCATCTAAAAACCGATAATAATAATTTTAGAGTGAGAGAGAGAGAGAAAAAAAAAACAACGAGAAAACGAATTCTCTCAGCTCCAAAACAAAAAGAGAAAAAAACGCATGCGCGTCGGAAATGAAACGACACCGCCAAAAGCTCAGTCCTGTTCCGATGGAGGAGGCAAGTTTAGATCTAGATCTAACGGCTGAGATCTTTTCTCCATCCCACCTTCAAAATCAACGACCGAAGACGAATCAGAGTCGCTCTGGGCCCCACAAGCCATCTTCGTCCCTACATGCACCACCGACGACCTAAACTCTGCCGTCACCGGAGGCTGAGCACGACCTCCGTTTCCGATTCCCATAAGGTCCAAAAAGTAGACTGGACGCACCATCGGGATCTGGTAGCATGCGCCGCCGCCGAGACTGAGCTCGAGCTGCGGCGGAACATTCCCAGACGTCACCGGCGCAACCGTCGTGGGAGGAGAAGCACAGTCGAGGGTGCTGCTCTGGCTAGGACTACGCGCGAAAGCGCCGCCACCTCCGCCGCCGCCGGCGGCGGCGGGAACCTTCTCAGTCAGCTCAAGAAAATTGGGGAAATTGGTTTTAGCCTTGGCTCCACGGAAATCACGCGCCGCCGAATCGTAAGCACGCGCGGCCTCCTCGGCGGTGTCGAAAGTACCAAGCCAGACCCGGGTTTTCTTACCCGGATCTCGGATCTCGGCGGCATAACGGCCCCAAGGACGCTTCCTAACGCCTCTGTAACGAATCTCCTTAGCATTATTGTGGTGGTGGGTCGGGTTAGGAGGAACCGGGTCGGGTTTCAAACCGATCTTGGCCATTACTAAAATTTAAAAAGAATAACGGAGGAAAGAGAGAGAGAGAGAGAGAGTGGTGTGTGATAATTGAAGGGTGGGAAGGAGAAAGGGGAAGGTGGTTTGTATATATATAGATGGGGGGAGAGAGTAAAAGCGACGCTCCTTTTGGGGCGCTTTGTTGTGAACAGTCAATGCCTTGTAATGGTTTTAGCGGCTTCTCTTACATCAAATAGCGGTTTTCATGGTTTTTCTTTTTCACCTCCACTTATCCTTTGCCACGTGTGTCTGTTTCCTCCTTCAAGGAATCTTGTTTTTTTTTTCTTTTATCAGCCCTTCGTTTCTTCTTTATTTTTACCACCAAGCGTTTTCATGTTTGTTGCTCATCATTAAACACTTGGTAGTAAGTACACATTAATTGACAGTATTTATATCTTTATTTTAGGTAACACAAAAGCACTGTATATATCTATATAATTTCTCCGAATTTATTTAGTTATCGTTTTAAGGTTATGCATTAAAAAAATATTAATTATATTAATTTTTCAATATAAAGCATTATTAATTATCTATTTAAACACAATTCAACCAGTAATAAAACAAATTGCATGATAAAAATAATTTTAAAAAATAAAAAACTAGTAAATATTGTATTGAAAACGACAATTAATTTAAACCAAACAAAATTCTCTAAAATGATAACTAATAAAAAATAGAAGGAGTATATATTTTTAATTAATGAGTATCTGACACTAATATATTTATCTTTGCATTCATATATTTTTATGAAATAAGGTAAAACCTAGATAATAGATCTTACTATGAAACATATTAAATCAATACATATTTACAATTATTTCACTTAATGTGGAAAGTATTCAGTGAAAAATCCTTAATTTATCCTTTCTTATCATCTAGCTATATATATATATATATATAATATAAAAGCTACCTGATGTAGTTTTTTTAATACAAAAGGTAGTATATTTGAAGAAATCTAAACAAGAGCATATTATGTATTTAATGGAGATGCGTGGTGTTTGCTGTTGTCTACACAATGTATTCCATTTTTTTTTTCTTAATCCAGGGAATTTGTAATACCATATCGTATTTAATTTATGTTTTAAACTAAATTTTGAATTTGAATTGTTTTGTCCCGTTTATTCACGTGATTTAATATTATTTTTGTTTGGGATCAAGAACGTGATTTTGGATCTCTTAGCTTGGTCTCCTCTAAATGATAATTAGTGAATAGTGAGTACAATTAAACTAATTTTTTATTGCGTTTGAATTCGCATGCTTGGTTATGAAATTGTTTATAATGGGTTAGTGACTGACCACACAAAGTGTAAAACCTTGTTGCCATACATAATATAAGAAAATATGAGTTTTTATCCAGCAGAATCAGATAAAAATAACTAGAAAGTGTAGATAATTACATTTACAGAGTAACTAAATGTTCAAGATAACATCTCAGTATAGCTTTCGAAAATGAGAGCTACGCATTTAATCGAACTTGTGCATCTAAAATACAAAGAGGTTCTTATCAGAGAAACTTGGAAAATACTATGAAGTCAGTCAGATATGGCATTATAATATGAGAGTTAAAAGACAAGTAAGTAAATTAAAAAGCAGAGCGAAACCCATATAACATATTGGATGACGCGAAAATGCGAATACGTGGCAACACCTCGAGGAAGCGCGGCTCAGGAACCGCGTTTCCATGTACGCGCGTGAATCTCACCGCCGAACACGTGCCGACGGCGATCGCGTGAAAGAGCGTTATGCGTGACTTCTTCGACTCAGCTCCAATTCAACGTTGAGTTTGACTGCTTTTCTATTTTTATTCCGTGAAGAAAAATAAGCCCATTTAGCCGCCCCTCCGCCAAAAAAAAAAAAAAAAAAAATTAATACAAACACACGGCCCCACTAACGCACTCACTAAATAAATTATTTAAGAAAAGTTTTTATCTTTTCTTTTAAGATCTATAATGCCACGTGGTCAACGCGACGCGTGGAGAATGATAGAGAGAGGAGACAAGGAGAGAGAATGGTGGCCGCGTCGGCTAACCGAGATTCTAACGGCGGTGGGCCCGCCGTTTGTTTTGTTTCTCTTGTTTCCTAAAAGACGATTATTACATTGACGGCAGGGAGACGTGTGATTCAGATTATATACTTATTAGTTTGTTAATTAAATCATCTACTTGATTTTACTTATATTCTTTGTTTTTTCTTTAACGACAGCTACATATGTCTTCACGCCATGGATAATGAATTGGGTTTTCTTGGGCCACAGAATCTGCTGGATATAAAAATTAAGATACCATTTATTTTAAAAATATTATCTTTTCTTTCCATTAAGATCTAACAAGATAATGGACTACTATCAAGGCACTTGTTTGATTTGTCAAAACATGATTATAGATGTATATTCAAACCCGGTTTGTATATGGTGAACTAGTAGATTTAATGCGTGGTTTCGCATGTTCCAAAAATTATATATGTTGCAAATACAATGCAGATAAAACCGTTGATCGCAAATCATTTATATTCATATAAATTTATTCGTTATAAATTATCTATGTAATTATTTTTATAATTTATATTAAATAGTAGTTTAGATGAATTTTTTTTATTACCATTCTTATTTCACAAATTTATTCCTAAAATTAATGTTGTTTTAAAACAAATTTACATATTATTAGATCATCCATTTTACGGTTAAAACCTTTGTGCTGTCATGAAGAAAAGTTATAAAACTTTTATAAAACCTATACATTTGCCTATTTAAAGTTATTTTGTAATGTCAATTGCAATAAACAGTTAGCAAAAAAAAAATGTTTATTGCAGTATATATATAACGTATTTGCTTCGGAAGATCAATCCTTGAAGAGTTTGTGAAAATGGGAGGGAAAAACAAAGTTGAAATCTTACTTCAGCTACATAATGCTTTACGGCGTCGCCGGATTTCTTCTTCCTCATCCTTGGTTGCTCGTCGCCGTGTTTTTCCTTCCGGGAACAACATCAGCATCTCTGGATTTCGTTTTCTGGGTGTTAATCAATCCGCTCACTTTCTTCATTCTCTGCCAGCTCCCGAGAGAAACTCCACTGGATTCAACGAAAACCAAGACACACAATCTTCTTTTGATGTTCATAATATCATAAAGAATCACCGTGGAAGTTCATCTGAAGAAATTGAGCGAATCCTTGATAAATGCCGGATAAGATTAACCGAAGGGCTGGCTTTGGAAGTGGTTAATCGGAATCGATCTGATTGGAAACCAGCTTATACACTTTCCCAATTGATACGTAAACAATCTGTTTATCTATCTAGCTCTTCGGTGTACAACGAAATCCTCGACCTTCTTGGGAAAATGCGTCGCTTTGATGAGTTCCACCAAGTGTTCGACGAAATGTCTAAGCGAGATGGACTCGCTGACGAAAAGACATATGATGTTTTGCTAAAACGATACGCTGCTGCACATAAAGTAGATGAAGCCGTGGCTGTATTCGAGAGGAGGAGAGATTTTGGGATAGAGGACGATTTGGTTGCGTTTCATGCGCTCTTGATGTGGCTGTGTAGGTATAAGCACGTTGAATTTTCGGAGACGTTGCTCTGCTCTCGTAGAAGAGAGTTTGGATGTGATATAAAAGCGATGAACATCATTCTCAACGGGTGGTGTGTTTTGGGGAATGTTTATGAAGCCAAGAGGGTTTGGAAAGATATCATTGCTTCCAAATGCAGACCAGATGTTGTCAGCTACGGGACGATGATCAATGCATTGACGAAGAAGGGGAAGCTGGGAAAGGCCATGGAACTATACAGAGCAATGTGGGAAACTGGAAGAAGCCCGGATGTCAAAATCTGCAATAACATCATTGATGCATTGTGTTTCAAGAAGAGAATCCCAGAGGCTCTTCAAGTGTTCAAGGAGATGAGTGAGAAAGGTTGCTCTCCGAATGTTGTGACTTATAACTCGCTTTTGAAGCATCTCTGCAAGATACGGAGAACTGAGAAAGTTTGGGAGCTAGTGGAGGAGATGGAGCGTAAAGGAGGTAGTTGTTCGCCTAACGATGTGACGTTCGGTTACTTGCTTAAGTATTCGCAGAGACCAATGGATGTTGAGGCAGTTTTGGAGAGGATGGCGAAGAACAGGTGTGAAATGACAAGCGACTTGTACAATTTGATGTTTAGGTTATATGTGCAATGGGAAGATGAAGAGAAAGCGAGAGAGATATGGGGTGAGATGGAGAGAAGTGGATTAGAACCAGATCAAAGAACATATACAATCATGGTTCATGGTCTTCACACAAAGGGAAAAATTGGAGAAGCAATGGGTTATTATCAAGAAATGATGTCAAGAGGAATGGTGCCAGAGCCAAGAACTGAGATGCTACTGAATCAAATCAACACCAAGCCGAAAGAAGAAGACAAAAAGCTTAGACCCAACAGTACAAAAGAAGAGTCTGAAAGCGACTGAATTATACATGAAGAAACAGATTTGATATTGAAAGCAATTTTCACATCTTCTTCCACATGATCTTATAACAAAAAACAAATTCCCATTTATCTCTGTCCAAGTTCTTACGCAGCCATGGTCACAGCTTCTGCTGCTGCAGCTACTGCTGTGTCTGGGACGTACCAACCGTGGTGGATCTCGACGGCTTTTTTCCTCCTAGCCAACCGAGACTTCCTACGCGCACCAGTGTTCTTGTGTAGCGCTCTAACCTTCACCGCTTTGTCTATTGCAGAATAAGCCTCTCCTATCAGTTTCTCCACTGTTACAATCTCATCAGGTTGCGCGTCTGCTTTCTTCTTGAGCCCCTCGAGTGCTTCCAAAACCTGTTTAGCATATATTGCAATTGAAAATTAATCTCGTTATAATGAGATGTTCTAAACAATCTAGTCTTCATTAACTCTCCAAAGTTCTTAGAACAATATGAAACCGCCTCAGCAGCTTCAACCCGAGTTCATTTTTTCGATACATTGGTTGCAAACAATGACGACCCATCCACCTAAAAGCTCACATTATCTAAATCCCAATATGAATCAAACTAGTCACTCGATAACTTGGATTCCCAAAGTGAAGTGTTGTTCACAGGTTAGTACAAGAAGTAGAAACACTTCCTTATCCAGTTTCTATCCAATTGTCACTAAAACTGCAGAGGAACAGCATTACAGAGCTTATCAACAATCTTTAATCCACTATTCAATTCAACCAGACGCTAGAATTTTCAAAAAGCAAACATTTGGTTGACATAAAGTGCACAAAAACTATGGCGTTACCTTCTTCATTCGAGTACGGGCTTCAGATTTCTTAGATTTGTTGTAAAGACGCCTCTTCTCGGCTTGGCGAGCTCTCTTGGCAGCTGAATCGGCTTTTTTCGTGGGAGCAGCAGCCTCACACACAATCAATTGCCTCATTGGCTTCTGTACCCTCAAATTCCCTGTAGAGTGTTATATATCCCCCCAAAATTTCAATCTCCAATGCTAAACCCTTTAAATTAGCCACTACTGGAAACATAAGAGCGCGAATCCAATGCAAAATGCGATTAACATTCAATAAATTCACGAGATTCTGATGCAGGGTTTACCGGAGGAAAAAGCGATACATTGAGAAACGCTCTGAGAGTAGCTAAGGGAGGAGCCTAAAGTAGCCGACGAACCGCGACGAGTGGAGAAGGAAGAGGATGAAGATGATGCTGACGCGGAAGAAAAAGAAGAAGAAATTCCCTTGAGCGAAAGGACTTTGAATTTGGAATCAAGGGCCGCACAGGAGGAAAGACACTGCACTATCGTCGCCATCGATTTCTACACGCTTCTCTTCTCTTCTCTGCTCTCTCTCTCCCTCCGTAAGTAGAGTACTGCCTCCATTTCCGAACTTTGTTATCCATATAGAAGATATGATGTCTGTAACTACTATTTTACCCTTGGTTGATTGACTTAAAAGACTAAATTAGCCCCGGTACGTTTGATCGCATGAGCGATGGTGGTAATCGATGAGAAACGGACCAACAACTCACATACGGTAATTCTTTTTTCTTCCTTCAACGTTCAACACTAAAAACAAAAACACAAATCTCAAAATTCAAAAAAAAAAAAAAAAAAAAGCATTGCATATTTTGAACTGTTTAGAACACCGGAGAAAGATAAACTATGGTCTACGAAGAAGTTTTTCAACTTTTTTTTTTAGTTATGTCATCAGAATCCTTCGGCCATCATTACTTCTGGTATTGCTTCTCTGTACTTCTTGGACATATACGGTCCACTTCGAACAGCTTCTTGCAACTGCAACAACAAAATTTACACACGTCAACAGCAAGCAAATGTATAACCTATTACATATCATAGAACGCTTCTAAAAACTTCCATTTTTTTAATACAAGATACGTTTTTAAAAAATTAAGAAAAGAGAGCAGAGGGAAAAAGATCCAAACCTTTTCACCAGTTTTTAGACGACGAGGGTCATCAACGAAGCTACTAGACAAGAACGCTTCGTGAATCGATTTGCAGCAGTTATACCTTGCTTCCATTGCTGAGTCAAGAATGTGAGATTTAGACTCATAAATCAAAAATATTTAAGGAAAAAGCCAGTCCAATGGCTAATATGTTCTGCGAGAGGAGTTCTACGTCGTTTACCTATTTTTGCGGTTTCAATGGTTGAATCCGTCACTATGTTTATTATCTCTTCTTTGGACAAGATTTCCATCAGGCCCCATGGCCGAGCCACCAATGCTGCTAGTGTTCTATAACCCTGAGGAGGGCAACATAATATTAGCAAAATATCGAGTTTTCCCCTGGGAAACACGTGACAGTCTTTTTGTGAGACGGAAGTAGAAAACACGTATCTGAGTCTTGCGTAGAATAAATGAAGAGGGGTTTTACTTTTGAATGTAATGCAGTGTGCAATGTAAAAATTCTAACTAGGGAAACACAGGGGGGAGAAGATACGAAAGATCAGATGCTGAGGTTTAAGTTTTTACCGCAAGACGAATTTCTGAGCTTTGTTGAAGAACTGAAAGGAATAAACCCTGTGAATTTTGTGCGACATGCTTTAATTAGCTCATGCTACGTCAAAAATTTTTAGTCTGTGCAGGCAAAAGAGGAAATGAACTTACGGATGGAGTTAGTTTTGTGCTCTGTGCTGCAACATCGTATATTAAACATCTAAGGCTTTCTTCAGCTTTTTCATCAACTATTCTGCTGCTCTTAGCCCGTGTTTCACCTGCAATGTATGCCAGTGCGTGAAGTGCAGCCTGCAAATGCCATTTTCAAAACAGTTATATTTTTTCATTGATGTCTCCGCTAATGAAACAAAATTTCACCCATTAATAGTTAGAATTAGAAATCCTACAACAGGAATAACTGAATCTTAAAACTATCTTCCACACAATTACAGCATATAATCGGCAAAAATTCAACTGATGAGAAGAAAAAACACACTAACCAACTGTCTTCCATGTGCATTACGATCAAACGCAGAAGATACAACGTGTCGTGCAGCTGGAGGTGAATTTGCAAGGACAAGACTCGCTCCCTTCGTACCTAAATTTTTTTGTAAAAGTATACATAAAAGTCACAAGATTGTTGCAAGGGAAACAAAACATCTCGTTAAGAATGGAACATCTTTTATAATCCACGAAGTGTATGACCTAGCTATCACTCACTTTTAGTAGAAGAATGGAACACACGCAATTCAAAGAGAATTGAGCTACTTACTTGATCCAATCTGACCAATTGCATCAAGCGCAGCTTCCTGTGCATCTGTATCATTCATATCCGGTGACTCCAGACTCCCATCAATAGCTGAGATTAACGCCTTCACACCTGGATTCAGGACAAAGTTAAAAATGGATCTTTGCTAGCTAGCTACAGTACCCTAAAATATATTTCTATTTCCGTAAAGCTATAATTTCTTTCTCAGCTTATAACCACAAACAAAGCAATTTGTAGGCCAGCAAACCCAAGCAATAACACTTTTCTAACCAATACAGGCAAAAAAATATTAAAATCTTACAAGCTTCTTCCACGATATTGTATATAGTGTCCCTCGAGAGGAGCCTGCCACTTATCATTATTGCTCTCAACTTCACATAGGGTTCCATTGCTGTACCACTATACAAATTATAAGACCCCAAGTAAAAGAAAAAAGGGTGAGCTGCAGGCTTAAACGGTATCCATATTCTTTTTGATGTAAATATGTCTAAGGGTTTACAGTGCTTTTACCTGATGATAGAACACAAGAGCTGAATAAGTGAAGTTTGTGGCACAAACTCTGAACTGTGCTCCACTTCCATTACCTTCAGGTAAACCATGCATAAACATTTAACATAATTTCTATCTCGCTTCAAATTTCGGAAGCAAACGAAAGAGACTGAATAAATTGTCTTGGAAATCAGCCAACCTCATAGTAGAGTTCCAGAACATTTAAGATCACAAGAGTATCTTTTGTACCCTTCATTTCTGCCTCCAATAGATTTAGAAGCCCTGATTTCTTAACTGCGGAGGCTACATCAGGAGAAATCGAAAAAAGCTTCACTATCAAAGACAAAACCCGGACTCGTGCCTGAAAAACAGTTGGAAAATTGTAAAGGGACAGAAGGACATAGAACTTCATGGTAAAGATAAGTTATAAGGCGGTGCATTACCAGCGACGAACTCCTTGCAGCAAGGTTACCAAGGTGTGTAGAATCGTTGGTTTCAGCAGGGAATATTACCGACTGTGAAAAAGAGGTTTTGAGTTTTATGCAGCATGAATAGATGGTCTAAAAGAACTAGCCAATACACCAAAATGAAACCGTTTAAACACATACCATTGCATCTGGAAAGCGTGCTAGGCTCTTAATTGTCTCACTTGCAGCATGTGCCACTTCATCATCGCTACAAACAAAAAACAAAACAATGGTAAATTTTAAGATAAAGAAAGCTAGATACTAAAGCCATATTCTAATCCCGAAAGACTAATCGTTATGCTCCAAAAATCTTCAACCTAGTTCTTTCCAGCGGGTTCCTGGATAGCTAACTAAAGTTACCCTATACAAAGGAACTATAAGCATGGCTTCTTACCTTTTTATGATATATTCAAGCAGAAGAGGGTAAATGCCGTTGCTAACAACTAGGTGAACAGGAGAACCATCGTTTGCATCACAATTCTCCAAGAGACAAGAGACCTTAAAAATACAAATCCACCATTAGCAAACACTACAAACTAGGAAAACACTGAGAAAGCAAAAACCGTAATATACTGTTAAACACTTACAGTTTTGCAAGCCAGAGATTTCACTACTGCAGAATCTGCCTTAAGACCGGCTTGCAGAACAGCCTTAACAAACACATAAAAGCAAATCAGACTCCGAATATAGCAATTGGTTCAACATATTCTAATCCTGAGAGTGAGTACACAAATAACAGTGACCTGAACATTCTAGAAATAGAAATCCTATTGATGAGTCTTACCATGTACTGAGGAATAAGTGAGGCGCCATACTTAGTCTTGAAAACCCTCTCCAAGCAAGTAACCAGTGTGCTTTCAAAGCCTGGGATATCCGTTTCAGTTTGCAAAGCACTGCACGCACGTATTTACGATATCCGGTTACAACATGTTCACACAAAAGTGTCAAGAGCTCATAAGAAGTCCAAAAAAATCAAGAGACTAGCTAAACCATAAATCCCAAACCCGAAGATCAGATTCAAAACAGGTCATAAACAATCACATGAAAACGCAATGAAAAGTGAAAGTTGAAGGAAGACAATCACTTGAAAATAACGGGAAGAGGGAAGCGATCTAGGAATTCCTTAACAGAGGCTTCGCCCTGAGGACCTGGAATCGAAACGGTAGTCGGATTTCATTAAGTAACGACGCGATTAAAACAAATGCAAAATACGTAAAAGTGAAGTGGTATGAGAGTTCGGAGAAGAAGAAGAGTGGCTTAGTTACCGGGATAGTGTGCGAACTCGAACGCAGAATCGAACAGCTGGTTTACGTCTTCCATGGCGATTTTTTTTTTCTTCACCAAAATTAAAATTTGCTTCGTTGCGAATAGAAGAAGAGAAATAAGAAAAGGACCTCTTTCTTGATGACGACTCCACTCTGACGCTTCATTCATCAAACGCGTGGCAATTGGCGACAAGCGGTTTAATAAAGCCCAGCCCATTAAGAGCCATTTAAATTTGGGAAGCTGAAGTATCGTTTAAGGAAAATTACTTGTATGTTTTACAAATTATACAACACAAAGCTCTAATTATGATGGCTCATGTTGCTAATGTTTAGTTTCTCAATATGGCAAATGCTTTGTTGCTCTCTAACGGTGGATTCATGTCTCCAATCTGATGATGCCGCATGCTTATTAAGATATAAGATGAAGGAAAAAGGGCAACTTGAAACCAACACAAAAAAAAAATAAAGGGAAACTTCAAACAGAAAAAAATGAAAATTGGGGACAAAGTTTTTATATTTGATCTACAAAAGTGCATATGTATAAAACTCGATGAAATACATATATCTAAATCAGTTTTCTCACCATTGTATAATAATATGAATCTAGTAGTGTAATTGGAACACAATCTTTTTATTTCCAAGGCGTGTGCAGTGCCAAAAAAAATATCAACTTTTTTTTGTGGGCAAAATGTTAATTACTTACAAAAGAGTGTTTCTCTTTACAAGACAAAATAAAGAAGATTTTATTAAGCAGAAATTCCAAGAAGATTACACAGCCAAATGCGTCTAAGATTATTTATAACAAAATAAAATAAAGTGGACTTGTTTATCAGAAATAAAAGAAAAAAAGGTGAACTTGTTGTCGTTATCGGTGGGTGATTGTGTTGCGGACATAAGGATCGAGCTTCCTAAACAAGAGACTTGAGTCGAGGAGGAAGTGGCTGTGTATCGTATGCCGTTATTTACTACTTTCAAACCTAGCTAACCTTTCTCAAGAAAATTGAGTTAATAATTTAAAGCTTTTATCTTTAGCGACACTTCAATACTAGGAGATTAGTAGTAAGAAAAATGAAATCAGGAAATTCATAGCTTACATAGAAGTCATGATTAAAACATGCATAAAGACATTACAAACTAAAACACAAACAAAATGCGACAACTGACAAATGATTCGAGACTAATACAAACCATAAACTAACCAGTCAAAGTTTTTTTTTTCCCGTTGATAAAACAATACTTAGATGATAGAGAGATCGTTCTTGACCGCACAACGATCAAAGAGCAAACGGCCAGCTACTCACGGCAGAGCCACCGTACATGGCAAATGACTGAGGCGGAGGAGGAAGAACCGTTGGAGGCAGAGAAGGCAGATTCGGTAAGAACCCTGCGTCGATGTTGTACTGTCCAGGAGTTCCCAGATCCATAAACTGACCAAACGTCACGTCATCACCGATACGGCGACGCTGACGTGGCACCAAAGGTGGTGGAGCGGGAAGGTATGTAGGCAAGCCCAAATCGGAATGAGCTGCAGCAGAGTTATTGGAGAAACAGGACACGTGCTCCGTCGCATAGACGTCATTGATCGGAGCGGTTACAGATCCGGCGGACGATGAGTAGTTGACACCGGAGGAAAATTCTCCGGCGACGGAAGAGTTAGAAGAGATCAGTTTCGTCTCTCTACTGACTACACCGCTTTTCAGACAAACTTTAGAGAGAACCCATTCATCCTGTGTAATGGAAACAACAAAGTAACATTTTTTAAAACATTTATCAAAAAAAAAAAAAAAATAAACTGTAAATAGAATATTTACGGAGAAAGTTAAATTTTTGTAAAGAAGATTTTGGTTTTAAAAAAAAAATTACCTTAGCAGAGGAAGTGATGTAATGGTAAGAGAATTTTCCGTCGAGGCGATATTCATGCATGACCCAACAGCTTTTCTCACCTTTAGGAGCTCTGCCTTTGTAAAAGACAAGAGTTTTCTTCATCCCGAGAAGCGAATTTGTCTTTGAGCTTTTGATCTCTCTGTCTTTACCAGTTGCTTTCCAGTAACCAGCTTCTGTTGCTCTGTTCGTTCTCAGTCCCGTTGGGTATTTCCGGTCTCTTAACGTGAAGAAGTACCACTCTTTCTCACCCATTTTCGCTTTCTCTGCTCAAAAAGAAGAAAATGTCAGATTATATAAAACCAAAAATGTTTCAAGTAAGACTCTGTTCTCTAAAACAGAACATATGGAGCTTGTTCTGAAAACTGTCAAACTTCGTAGAGTCATAACAATGTCTTTATCAACAAGACCCTCTTCCTCGCATAAATCTATGTAACTATTAAGACTATACTTAAAGCAATGGCTCTTAATTAAGGTATTAAGAAAGTCTGAAACTTTGAAGCTACAACGAGAGGATTTAAGATGCAATTTCAGAGCTGGGTTTAATCAGGTGTTGCAGAGTTTTTAATTCAAATAAAACAAGTGAAACAGAAAAAATGGGTTTTATTAGTGTTTTAGTGGGGTTACCAGGAAGCTCCCAGGGCTCAGACTTGTTGAGATCAACCTGAGAAATGGCGGCACAGGAGAAATTGGAGTCAAGAACTTTCTTGAGGAGATAGTAAGTGATGAGCTCTTCATCAGTTGGATGAAACCTAAACCCAGGTGGCATTATGGTTTCATCTTCAAATCTTGATCTCTCCCACCCATTAAAGACATCGATATCCATTGTAGGCCAACACAAAGAGGAAGCTCTAAAACCAACAAAACCGTAGAATTTATCCGGTGTTTAAAGACAAAGCAAGTGAAAAGAAGGGGAAATAAAAAGGGTCCTTTTTTAATGATCTGTGTTTCTCCTGTTCTACAAGCAACTGATGTGATATTTGACAGTAGCTAGTGACAGACAGAGTTGATGTTGATGTGTACAATACACCACACAAAACGAATATATATATATGTGTATAATATTTGTATGCGTGTGTATATGCGCATGTAGATATATATTAATATGGCTAAATAAATTGTATTAGGATCTAACCTAATATAATTGAACATTGTCTTTTTAGCATGCAATGCGTGCGTGACTGGAAATCTCAGGGGATTCTACGTCAGCCAAATCTTTATTACAATTTTTATTATATTAAAATTAAATTTAACTTTACTAGCCAATAGATTATTGGATACTACCTTTGTCTGTTCAGCAGTCTGAGCTTCACCATGAATAAGATTCTTCTCTTTACGAAAAATTCTATACGCATTAATATATCTAAGACAAAACTTTAATACTAAACATAAATAAATAAAAAATAGAAAAAAAAGAGAGGAGCATGGATGCATCAAATCATAAGAAGCAATCACATCCATCCATCAGCGTCTGAATTAAAGAAACGGACGGACAGGATATAGACGCGTCTTATCTGTCACAAGGAAACATAAAAGAAAATTGAAAAGAAAAAAAGATGGAGGCACAGGCTTTACATCAAATCATATTCCCATCCTTTCTTTGCATGCATCTTTCATTTTTTTTCCCCTCTCCTGCTATTTTTCACTTCTATGCTTTCCCACAAATAACTCTACCTATATTTCTATGTTTTTCTTTCTAAATTTTTTGAAGATAAAAAATTTACATATTAGTAATTTATCGATAATTAGTTTTAGGTCGACACGTTATTGCTGATCGGGAGGAATGACAACACAAGGGTTTTTCATTTTTTTTTGTAGAGATTACGTTTCATTTATTTAAGAACAAAAATCCTTGGGAAAAAACAAAAGAGATCATTGTCAACCACTGATTTTGTGGGTGAAAAGGAAAAGATTTAATAAAAAGTCATAATTGATGCTAAGAATCAATAATTGTGGATTGTTGTTTAACAGCATGAGCATGAGAACAGAGAAAGAGAGAGAGAGAAAACTCGCGCACCGAGAGAGATCACAGAGATTAAAAGCAGGTGGCAAGAGAAGCCGAGTGACGTATTTATCAGTGGTGGAGGAGAGAATCTTCTCAGCCGCCCTCCGGCCTCAACCCTACGGCGTCGTTTTTCGAGTCTACGGCCAAGCTTAGGTCCCACTTTTCTGTTTTTGGCATTTTCCCTTCGGATTTGTTAGAAAGAGGATCAAACTCGTTAAGAGCAAATCCGTCATAATTAGGTCGGATACGCGGTAAGGAAAAATAATAATAATATAGAACTAAAAAAAGCCAGATCAAAACCGGATTCAATTTAAACCCGGGTCTAAACAGATCACATTGAAGAAATTTGTCCATTTTGAATAATGTTACAAGACTACAACTGCTGGCCAAAAAGATTGCAGATGTATACACAAAACAAACACCTTTGGGTTTCTCTATTCACCAAAACAAACAATTTAAGAGACTTCTTTGATCAGTTCTTGGGGATGACATCAGAGAAAGCAAAGTCATGGAACGGAGGTCCTGCAAAAAGAAAGAAAAAAATAACACAACTTTAGATCTCTTGCAAGTTGCATATCATCTATCTGGTTGAATCAAGTTTTAAGAGAGGAGACGAGAAGAACTCTTTAACCTCCTTGTTCACTTAGAATGTGAAATGGAATGTGTGCAACCATTTTCTCCCCACCCTCGCTCCAATTAACCGTGCCGGGAAATTTTTCTGAAATCCGTGAAGGTCCTAACACAGACCAACAGATTCCTGGTTCGTTCATTAGTCCTAAGTAATCATGTGCTCGTCTCCAAACCCTTGCATCAGATATCCGAGACCGAACTACCTACACACATGTACATAATTTTGGAACTCAGATTTTTCTTTTTTTTAAGATTAGTGATCATTGAAAAAAATGTCTGCATGTACCTTTCCCAAGGCAACGCGGGCTCTTGGCAATAATTCCCGGTGATAAGTTGCGAGCTTTGCGATAGCTGTCACTACGAAACACAAAAGCCTTGACTGTGTTGTTCTTCTGGAAGCATTCCCAGATTCTTGCCTCAAACCTAGGCGGCTTTTTTGTTTGTTGGAAGCAAATACCCAGACATTGTTTAAATACTTTTTTTTTTTTTTTCTGTCTGAGAAAGGCTTAATATATATAAAAAAGTTAATGATACCTCGATGAGAGATTCTCATACAGAAGCAACTCTAAGCTTTCAAAGAGCTCACGAGCAGCATCCTTGTGTGATTCTCCCCCACCACCATACTCTCCAATTGCCCAACATAGCTGTAAAGCTAACTCTCTCTGTGGAAGAAAATGTTAAGAGGAGGTAATGTTACAAAGCATCCGTGGAAATATTAGAAACTGACCTTAGCAGCGTCATCGTAAGCTTCTCCAAGCCTGTCAATTATAGGCTTCTGCATTAAAAAAGAAGTTAAGATTAAGTTTCAGCAGATCTATACTTGAGAAAATATGCAGTAATCACAAGACTATGCAACCCATGACGATAGATAGATAGAACGATTTTGAATGCCATATCAACTAATGCAGCGTGATCTTAATACTAGCACAAACCCGAAAAAGGAAATGAAACGAAGAGATTACTTTCAACAGCGCAATGAAATTTGGAGACCTCTGAAATGCAGCTAGCACGAATTCCAGTAGCCTCCTACGGATCTGTATACACATAACATATCTCTGTAAGCTAAGGTTCTATATGGCAGCAATACAGGTTCATACACTAAAAGGTCCAAATAGCCTTAGCATTTCTCAAGAACACTTATAGCTCAGAGGATATATCATATATATACAATACAAAAGATGCGTGATACCTCGTGAGAAAAATTCTTATCCGGAAACATTGTAGAGTTTCTAGTCATGAGTAGAGGAAGTAATGCACAGATCAGAGCTGCAAAAAGACAAGGCATTAAAAGAGAAAGAAAAACAAGCATGAACAGACTCAATAGTGGTCAAAGATCTAACTACATTGGTAACTGACATATTCTCCTTTAGTAACTTAAGAACACTAGGAAGGCTGTAAATAATCTTACAGTCATTTGCATCTCGCAACGCAACACTAAAGTAGACATCAAGAAGTCGAGGAGCAATCTTAAGTGTCTGCTTCATCCTCTCTGACTGAGGACCACTTGCAGCAGTCTGCAGCGCTGCGTTTAATGCAGGAGAAGCTCGGTGTCTTTCCTGCAGCACAAAGTTGACAAAAAACTTTTTTAAGCTTGTCTAAAATATCACGTAATAAAAACCTACCAACTATCACCTAGCTGCAAGTTTACTATTGTACAACATTTATATGAAACAGTTTTCTGTTGGGACTTCTGAATAAAGTAAAACTTGAGGTAGGAGACATACAGCTAGACCATCATTTTCATCCTTGAGAAGCTCCAGAAACAGAGGATCAGCTAGATCTATTGTATTGTTATCTTCAGATTCTGAGTCATCCCCACCATCCCCGATGGTTGAACCAGTATAGGCTTCATCCATAAGGGCAAGAAGCATCTGAATTTACAGGGATCTTGTCAATTTCCATTCATTGACTTCTGAGAACTGTCTACCAAGTATTTGTTTTTATGAAATATATGACCTCGGGTGCTGCACTCTTCTGGATTGAAGCGATGCTACCTCCAACCCTTGAACCCGACCCAGAACTTCTTTCCACTTTTTCCAATGCCACAACCAACACTAGCAAAAAAAAATAACAAGAAGATACATAATCAGTATTCAGTACGCAGAATAATCATAAACTCAATAAGGCCGAGAGTATACAGAAGTAAAAGCATTAACGTAGAGATACTACACAGGCTCTAAACCATGGAAATCACCAAACCAGCAGCTTGTGATTCACCTAAGCGGCCTCCAAATCACAGTGCAAACAAATCTACACAATTGATTATAATTTTTCAGACAAGGGGACTCACTAGGCAAGTCTAGAATGGATGGAAACAGAGGAAGAAATGACCCAGGTGATATTAGTCCAGGAAATATCTTCAGGAAGGACTTCTCCAACCTGAAATAAGAAGCATGAGATAAAATTTCCTTGAGGTGATTGATTCGATAACTTAAAAAAAAAAAATCACCAATATAGCAAGAATTTTCCAGCTTACTTTTCCCAGTTCCAGGCAATGAGCTTAAGCAACAACGGGAAAAACTGCGGATACAATTTCTTGTTTTAGATGGAGAAGATGGTTTCTGGCTTCATTGCTCAAGCAGTGGAAATGTAAACGGAATTGAATTAATATTACACTAAGCAGTTTCCACACCTGAGGAAGTAAGTTTGGAAAAGACGCCAAGATTTTTCTCTTGTTCTCAATAAGAAAGTCACAAGTTGCCTCTGCAACAGCAGTATCTGAGAACTCACTACAAGGATAATCATGAGAAGATAAGAAAATGTACTTGATTAAATACCCAAGAATGCTCTACACGACAAGAATGCTCTACACGAAGGGATTGTAGCAAACAGGCATGAGCACAGAGCCACAATATGACCCACGTTGAAGCATAAGCAAAGTCCATACCGGCTAAGACACGAGCGGAAGAATGTCCTCAAACTCGGGTCAGCATCGTGCAGAACCACATCTCCAAAATCAAGAAAAAACTGAAGAATGGCCTAAAATCGCAATAAAAACACAAACACATAATAATCCTTGAATGCATCTGGCTGGGTAATTGTTGAAACAATGCTAAACAGATAGATTAGAATTTCTGAGTGAGAGTAACATACAAGCAAGAGAAGACCTTTAGACGTCCCTGACTCGGACTGAGACAGTGAAGCAACAAAACGCTGGAAGACTTTATTCATTTGCGGATAGATTCTAGCCACCAAATCATCTGATTTCTCCAATTTACAGAACCCATGTAGCTTCTTCACCTAATCCATCAGACATTCAAACAAAACACAAAGCAATGAGTCCCTTGTTCACGAGCCAAATTCTATATTCATAAATATGCACACAAGATGCGTACTGATTGTAGTGTAGATGGATCAGAAGCAGGATCCGTTGAATCCCGCGCGCTATTGCTTAGGTTTCTGAGATAAAAATTCCAGTCTCCGTCTTGATCAGTCATTTTCAAACAAAAGAGTTATCAGTAGAAAAAATAAATGATGGACGAAGAAGATGGAAGCAAACGCCTTCGGCTTCGGTGACTTCCGAGTCTCAGAGCAGGAGGATTGGAGGGAGACGACGTCATTTCACCATGATCTGTATCCTTAGACTGCTCGCCGTCTATTGTTGTCCACATCATGTAGTTTTGGTAGTAAGAGACGACACGCAGTTTTAAGCAAACCCTCGAAAATTAAGTCACCAGACTGCAGCGAGACGACACCGTTTTGTGTCATTTATAATGTCAGAAGACGGCACGCAGTTTGTTCAGCAAACCTCATTCTTTCTTCTGTATTGCACAGGCTTCCACTGTGTAGACGAGAGAATTGGAGCGAATAAATATGGCATCGGCGTCCTCTTCCGACGGAGTTGCCGGAAGGCTTCGGAACGCATCGTTGGTTCTTGTTTCCGATAACAGTTCCACAATTTCTGTGAGTATTTTTCGCTCAAAAATTGCCGTGATTGCAGTGAATATCATATCCCGCACAATGCTCTTGTTTTGGAATATCAATTTCTGAGAAATTCAGCACAATGCTCTTGTTTTGGAATATCGATTTCTGGTAAGTTGAGAGATAGGAGATTCGGGTGATAATGGGTTCTGTCTAGCCAGAAGTGAGCAAGTAGATGATTACTCCTTAATCAAAGTTATCCTAAAAAATATGGTTTTTGTTTTACGTTCCTGTTGGTTTGAACCAGGAACAAAAAGTTGAATGCTCGCTGTTTTTTTCCTATGAATCGGCTTTTCCTCCTACATTTTCAGTGTAGACTGGTTTTGTTTACTTCTTCGTTTTTTTTTTTTGGCAGGACATTCGTAAAGCTGTGACTATGATGAAGAACATTGCTGTTCAGTTTGAGAAAGATAATCAAACTGAGAAGGTGAGTTAATCCTCTGCATTCACTTCGTGTTTCAGCCATAATGCAGTTGTAGCCGGTTAAGTTCTGTGCTTTAACAAAATCAGTGGAAGGCCCTTTCTCTCCTTAAATTTTTGTTTTTGGCTAATAATTCATTAGTGACTTCTCTATAAATGGTGGGAACTGCTTGGTATTTTATCTTTTTGATTTTGGTTGATTCTTGGCTCACTGAATTTCTGTACAATATGTTATAACATCTCTCTTTCTTTCCGACATTGTATGGTCAGCTCGAAGCACACTCTTTCCTTGCTGTCTGTTTTTTTTTTTTCTTTTGATTAAATGCTCTGTATACCTGCCGTTCATTTCAATATTTTGTGTTCCACAGGTTAAAGACTTGGAAAATTCCGTGGCTGAGCTTTTAGATTTATTTGGTGATTGTGCTCATCGTTCGGCGGCAATTCAATCTGTCGCAAATGCGTACCAATCTGGGGAACAGGTTTCTGACATTCCTCATTCTGTGACATTCACTATATGCGTAATCGGTTGCTTACTTTTAGTTTTAGCAGACTGCTTTCTGACTCACTCTAATGACTGCAGTTAACTGACTTTAAAAAGTTACTTGACGACGAGTTCACAAAGATCAAGGCTACAACTTCTTCAGTGACTCAAAATGATCATCTGATGCGCCAGTTCAGGGAAGCAGTTTGGGTATGCCATTTGTGACGTTCTATTTCATAAATCTATTAGGGCCTCAGTTTTTATTTTTAAAGAATAATATCGTTGTACAGTTAAGTTCTTAACTTGAATCGAATAGGTCTATTTTCGATTTCCTTTAAGTTCTTGTCGCTATTTTGCTGCAGAACGTTCATCATGCAGGTGAACCAATGCCTGGTGACGACGAAGAGGACATTGTCATGACCAGTACTCAGTGCCCTCTCCTAAACATGACATGCCCTGTGAGCGGGAAGCCTCTCACTGAACTAGCAGATCCAGTTCGCAGGTAAAACGGATGGCTTGACTTTTTTTGTTTTCCTTGCCTTGTTTTGTTCGGATGATTTGCTTGTCCTCTCCTACGCTTGATGTCTATGTAGGATGATTGTTCAAGCCATATTTAGTCGATACAGAGTTCTATAAGTGATCATAAAGCGTGAATATTAATTCATCTTTCTTGTAGCAGTAGAACTAACAACATTTTGTGCTGGATTATTACATGGATTGATAGACAATTGTGTGGTGAACTGATTTCGATTCTTTGTGATCCTTCTCTGGTTGCAGTATGGATTGCAAGCACGTCTACGACAAATCCGCAATCATGCATTACATATCCAAAAATTCCAATGCGAAGTGTCCTATAGCAGGTAAAATAGCTCTTCTTCAAACGTCATATAAAACACAATTCCGTTGTTATTCCATGCTGATATGTGATTCCTATCGCACACTTCAAATTATCAGGCTGCCGAGGTAAACTGCAGAATAACAAAGTGGTCTGTGATCCAATGTTGAAGTATGAAATCGAGGAGCTGCGCACGATGAACAAGCAATCCAATAGGGGGGAAGTGATTGAAGACTTCACAGACTTAGTCGATGAAGATTAGAGATCAAAATATCTCTTCAAGTTCACAACTTTTGCTTTTCGTTGTCCATTTGGTATATTTATCAAATGTGAAGTCTGCTACCAATTGTTTCCAGTTTTGGATGTAAATAGGCAAAATACCACTCTAACAGCTCGTTTTGGCTAAGTTTGAGTTCTTCTTCTGAGGCTAGTCAAATCTTATTTCATTTCTTTTAGGAGTGTTTTGGGTTCTCAGATTTCTGTGGAGTTATGAAATGAAAATATAGGAACCGAATGTAAAACTGAGTTTGGATTTAGATTTGGTCTCTGATTTACAAATTTAATATTGGTTCGATTTTGATTGGGCAGTTTATACAACAAACAAGGCTTTTAACTTCTGTCGCTGAGACCGTTTAGTTTCAGACAGTACCTGCAACTTATCGTCACCCTGAATCACTCGAAAGGAGTCATCTTCTTCAATCTTGATGCTATTCGACTAGAATGGCTTCCGCTTTCTCTGCAATTAGGATTTCGATGTCCAAAATGAGTCCATTTCGTGCTAGCCATTTCTCTTTTCCCGCCACATTCGTTTTAGCCCATACCAACCGAATCCTGTGCAACTCTTCGCGTTCTGTATCTTCGTCTCCTTCTCCGTCTGACATTTCTTCTTCTTCTTTTTCGTTGATGGAAACAAATGGAAATTCGAGGTGGAGACCCATGTGCTTGTATTTCACTCACGGGAAGTGCACAAAGGTGAACACTTTGAGGCTCATCTTCTTTGTCAAATTGTGTTTTTGCTACAGCAGAATTAGTGCCCACGTGTCGCTTGACTTTTGCTTGGTTCCTGCTTCGCGTGTTCCGTAACCAGCGCTTCTGATGATAAATTTTCATCAACTATGCAATGTCCCTGACCTGTTCGATGGAATGTCTGAACGAGATTGGATTTTTTTTCCCCCTATCGAGGAGACTATCGCTTGTGTCTCGATCGTTATCATTATTCTTTATTCGTTTGTTATACTTAAATAATGGCGAATCTTGGGTAAATAAAGCTTGTGTTGGTGACTTCAGATGGATGATCCTGCCCATTTGGAAGTTTTTCAACCATGATTGTTCGAAGGAACTTCCAGTGACCGCTGCTGATCTTGAGAAGAAAGAACCCCACAAGAATTCGACTATTTCTTGGGTTCTTGACTTAAAAGAAAAGTTGAGATTCTTGAGTTTCCTGTATTGATCGTAGACGCCAAACAATGGAAGTCGTAAACGTGTTCCACAGTTATAACAGTCTCGTACCGTTTAAAAATAATGCTA